TTACATATGATTATTAACTCACTAATAACATTAAGATCCAATTAAATCGTAAAAAAATGTAGAAATACGAACACATATAAATTCGTCAAACACTCTTATCTGTAAATAAAAACAGGTCTTTACTCACTAATAATATTGATCTCTAAACATTCCACACAACCCCTTAACAAACATGTTTCATCTTTTTCTCTTCAATCCATTAAACTATATTTCTTTGTATAATTTAATAAAATCTTAATTTTTTTTAAATGCTAATTCACTATTTAACAATAATATACTACCAACCTACAAATTAGACAATAACAACATAATAAATCACCCATCCTAGACATAAAAGCACTAATAACACAAATATTCGAGAAAGTCATTACTAAAATAATATATGAATATTTCAAAGCATATGAATCTTCACTCATTCATATACCAACTAAATTTAATCGGGTTTTCGGTTAAACCCCAAACAAAAAAATGTCAAAAAAAAATGAAAAAATCCCATCTATAAAACATCATAACGCATCATCACTGTCTCCGGCTCCGCGCTTGCACGGAGCTATGAACCTAGTCAAATGAATTATACACAGCATTTTAATCAAACTGAGTAAAGACATTTTTTTATAGACAAAAAAAACATTACAAAATAGTGATATCGGACACCATTTGGGCCACTCTATATCTAGCTAGTTCCCTACCCACTTAACGTTTTTTTAGTTTGTTTAAATCCTGTGAACAAAAAAAAAAGTTTGTTTAATCCTACTTGGTCGATCTTTTAAAATAATTGAAGCAAGATATAATTTGTCAGGTTTCAGGGCATAGAGCCCAGTAAGCACACACCACAACAAATCTAGGGAAAAATAAAATAAATATAAAGAAAAAAACCCATACCAAGTGACTTCCCAGTCTTTCTCAGCTCTCTCTCTCTCTCTTCCACAACAACAAAGATCCTCACTTCTCACTAGATTCTAGTGAGACTAAGAAACTGTAATGGATCTTTCTTCTCTTCGCTGCTCTTCTTCTCTGACATTGAGCTTCATAGTTCTGCTCTTAGCTTCCACAGGTAAAACCAGTTCGTCTTGAGTGTCTCACTCACTTACTCTCTTTTTTTTTGAAACACAATCTCACTCACTTACTCTATTTAGACTCGTTTTCTTATTTTCCATTTCTGATTTATTTTTCCTTTTCTTATGTTCTCAGGTTCGTATGGTTCAACCTTCACATTCGCTAACCGGTGCGGCTTCACCGTCTGGCCCGGAATCCTAGCCAATGCAGGCTCCCCTACTCTCTCCACCACCGGTTTCGAACTCCCCAAGGGCACCTCACGCTCTCTCCAAGCCCCAACCGGCTGGTCCGGTCGTTTCTGGGCCCGAACCGGTTGCACCTTCGACAGTACCGGCTCCGGCACCTGCAAAACCGGTGACTGCGGCTCAAACCAAGTCGAATGCGTCGGACTCGGCGCCGCTCCGCCTGTAACCCTCGCCGAGTTCACTCTAGGCACCGGAGGCGACGACTTCTACGACGTCAGCCTCGTCGACGGTTACAATATTCCGATGATCGTCGAAGTCGCCGGTGGATCTGGACAGTGTGCTTCCACGGGTTGCACTTCCGACATTAACCTTCAGTGTCCCGCTGAGCTCCGTTCCGGCGACGGTGACGCGTGTAAGAGCGCGTGTGAGGCGTTTAGGAGTCCTGAGTATTGTTGTAGCGGCGCGTACGCTACACCTTCGACTTGTAGGCCTTCGGTTTACTCGGAGATGTTTAAAGCCGCGTGTCCTCGTTCTTACAGTTATGCTTATGATGATGCTACGAGCACTTTCACTTGCGCTGGGGGAGATTATACGGTGACGTTTTGCCCTTCTACACCAAGGTTAGTGTTCTCGATTTTCTCAGTTAGTTTAATAGTATTATTCTTTGTTTTCCACAATTTGTGGGTTTTGTTTTTGAAAAAATTGATACTTTTGTCTGTTTAATGAGGTTTCGTAATAATTAAACTTAGGATATACTCTTTTTTTTTTTTTTTAATGAATGATTTTCGGTGCATGCTTCACTTTTTTATGTAAAAAGCTGAAGTTTGTTTCTCGTCTTTTCATAAACCAGCATTTGTAGAGGCAAAAAGATTCTCTTTGTTTTGTAAATAACGATGAATTTTCACGAGAAAGTTTATAGCAAAATGTTGTTTTGTCCCCCCCCCCCAAAAAAGAGTTTAATAGCAAATGTTGCAAAAAATTCCAAACTTGTTTGAAAACGCAAGTTGCTAATCTCTGAAAATTACAATTTTATTGATTACTGTTGGTTTTTTATTCTTTCTTGTAAGCAGTCAAAAATCAACAAGCTACCCCACGCCGGTACAAGACTCGTCGGCAACCTCACAAGGTTCGGACCCCGTGCCCGGTTCGGATACGGGTTACTCAGGTCAGGGTCAACAACAGGCTCAAGGTCAGGGTCAACAACAGGCTCAAGGTCAGGGTTATGAATACGGGTCTCAGGGCACTGGTGGCTCGCAGGTTGGTTCGGGAGAGACGATGTTACAAGACGGATCATGGATGGCTGGTTTGGCCATGGGAGACTCGAGCAGATTAACCGGCACTTCACTAGCAATGCTACTCGCAGCATTTACCTTAACCTTTGCGTTTCCGTTTATTTTCTCGTAGCATCATCTTTGACTTTCCCTAGCATTTGCCTTTGTTTAATGTTAGACTGTCTTGTTGATAATCAGTTTTTATTTCTCAAGTAGGACTACAACAATGTGGGGTTTTAGGTTTTTTTTGTATTGGAGCTTTGTGTGTGTGTGTTTGTTCTTGCTTCATCTGTCTTTGAAGACTGTTTGTTTCATGTTCAACATTGTGAGATATGTTTTTGTGATTTAATCATCTTAAGTGGGTTTAGCTTTAGATCTAAAGCGCCATGAGTTAAGTAATTAACCGTTGATTGAAATCGACATTTATTGGGTTGGTTGGTCTACTTAAATCTTAGAGAATTATTAAGTCTATATGATAGTGTCGCCAGAGCCAAGCTGGACCTCACAGTCCATGGCTGTGTTGTGAATTACCCCACTCATCTTTTAAGTTACTTTCAGGATTTATATTTGATTTGGTGTCTCGATATGTCGGACAATTTAAAATTTCTATAATAAAAGTTTGCTCACGCCACAAAGCCAAGTCGCGTCACATTTCATCTCCTTTATTGACCCGTTGTCACTTTTGTCCCCACCACCAGTACATTTGGGTGTTTTCATTCATTGAGAATTGGCAAAATTACCCCATTTATCTCTTATTGATAACTCTAGACCTGAAGTATATCTATCGACCATATAAAATTGACAGTGTATCTTACACATAAACACACGTTAGATACGGAGCCTGACATGTTTGGTCTCAGAGTCTCTAGAGAGCGAGAAAGATGAATTCACCGTTTTACCCTCGTATACGATGCTGACTCTATACTCTCCTAAAAATCCCAAGAAGCTGAACGTTCCATGGTCGTCCGTCTTTGCCTTAACTTCACCGGTAGTCCATTCTAAAAGCTTCTGATCCACCACGTCTCCGGCTGGAAGGTTACTGAATTTATCGTCTGTGAGGCACATTTGGTAACATCCGTAAGGGTGAAGTGCAGTCCATAGAATTATACCGTTCACCGATGGGTGAGAGAATCCTTCACGTAACACTTGCTCCAGATAAATAGCCTACAAACATGTTTTAGTTTAGTTTCTCTGTTGTGTTATTATGAATTTTTTTTCTTATAATATATCTTCACCAAAAATGCTGATGAATGGTTCCTTCCACTACTATTACCATAGGTTGCTATGATATGAAAAAATATATAATTTACAACCAAAATACATTATAGTTTAGTTTATCTGTTGTGTTATTATGGAAAAAAATTTATTTATTTTTCTTTTGTAAATGTCATTCATCAAATGAAATGAAGGTTTGGTTACAAAGGAATTGAAACCTGAGTCTGCTATATAGCCATTCTGTTTCTAGTGACTACAACAAAAAGTTAAAAAAATCCCTAGAAAACAAGGAAATTAGCCCAAGACAAAGATGAACTTGAAGCTAATAAATAATAAGATCAATCGACTACAATACTTCCCACACTTTTTTTCTTATAATATATCATGGAAATTTTCCTTATAAAATCTCACCAAAAATGCTGATGAATGGTTCCTTCCACTACTATATCCATGGGTTGCTATGATATGAAAAGGTATATAATTTATAACCAAAATGCAATTGACTCGTTCAATCAACTATATTATTATTTGTTAGTTTTCCTTTTTTTGTAACATATTATTTGTTAGCTAGATAACCAAAATCGAGGCAAATAAACCGCAAAATCTACACCAAAACAAGATTCACTATTTCAAAATGATGGTCAAGTCTACACTAAACCGAGTTAAACCGGGAAGGCAGAGTCGGAGTATGTTTACCTGAGTGCGGTGGTCGAGAGTAGAGCTGATATCAATCTCAGTGAGCCATATTGGGAGATCAAGCGTGGCGAGTTTATCAAGGTTAGCTCTCATCAGCGCCACGTTAGGCCTCGTGAAGTGACCCTCTAGTCCAACTCCATCCATCCTCACACCACCTCCATCGTACCTTTCCAGCTCCCTAACCCTCGCGATATACTCATCAACCGTTGACCTCTCATCACTACAAGTCTCCACCACGTTGAAATCATTAAGAAACAGAGTCGCGAGCGAGTCCAGCTCACGCGCCTCAGCGAATAACTCATACGAAGCGTTCTTCCCCAACCGGCTTTCGTAGAAGTCGAAGTGAAGCATCTCGTTGCTCACGTCCCAGTGCACGAACTCTCCTCTGTAACGAGTCATTAGGCTTCTGATACGTTGGTTAACCGCTGACCGGAGATCTGCCCCGGTTAGGTTGCGAACCCAGTCGGGAGTGTATTTGGGATCTTCCCAGAAGATGTTGTGGCCACGTGCGATGATTCTGTTGGCTCTGACGAAACTCATCATCTGGTCGGGGAATGTGTAGTTTAGCTTGCCTTGATGTGGCTCCGTGGCGTACCATTTTAGTTCGTTCTCGAACACCGTCGCGTCGAATCTCTTCACGAACCACTCCTACGTGATAAAACAAATAATAATGTAACGTTGCATGTATGCAGTAATAATAATGTAACGTTTGTATTAATTGTTATAGAAGGGTGGCTTACTTGGTAAGGAATGTTTCCGAGGATTGTTTTGGAGATGGCTGAACCAATGGGGAAGTCTTTAGAGATCTGCTCAACGTTTACCACTGCTCCCTCAACGCTCTCTCCGCTTTCTCTGGCCACGTGAATTGTCACTGCTCTTTTCCTCGCCTGAAATAAAGTTTTCACATAAAGAATGTCTGAATTTTTTAGTTATTTTTTCTTTAGTAGAAATTTTGTTTTGTATATTACGATGTTTATGAAGTAATCTTGGTTGTTCTTCCATTGTTCCTGCGTGAAAGGCTGAAGAGATGCACTCGCAACTTCTAATTGGGTTTCACCATCTTCGTTTGATGTCTGCATTATTATTAGGAATTTTTTGTATCATTTATTTGGATCATGTAACCAAAGCTATTGAGCATTTTGGAATATACCTCAAAGAAGAGGATAGATAGTTGGGAAGGAGAATCAAGAAAGAAGCCGCCTTTGAGGAAAGACCAGCAACCTTGTTTCGCGGTCACAGAACCTACGCAGTTTAATGTGGTGTTGTCTGATCTCAACTTTGCTCTTACACGAGCTGCTGATACAGAAGAACCAGCTTCTATCTTCACCCAAACTGTGTTTTTTTTTTAGTAGTCTCAAAAAAATCAGATGATGGTTGTTTCATTCAGTCATTTTTATATAAGAATTGGAAATTGATACTTAACTGGAGAAGCAATAGATGGTGTTTTGCGTGAGATTGTGCAATATGTAAGCTGGGGTGTAGTGAGCACCAACGCTTCTGTGAGTGTCTCTGCTTGGCACAGAAACTTCTTGGTCTTTCAGCATCCCTCCATTGTAAAGTGGTTTCTCTGGTTCTGCTCTACACTGCTCATTTTCGTTGTATTTTCTTTCAAAAAATCAGTATTTAAATATGTTGATATATATGCGTTCTACATATGCGCAAATTAATTTACAATACTAAATATACGTAACAATTTTATAGCTCAAAACCTCTGTGTATGCAGTAGAATCGTAGAAAGGTCCATCTGCACATGAAAATCGAATAAACATCTATCAAGCTAAAAAGTCTTGTATATAATATTTGTGTAGGATCAAATGTACCATTTGTTGAAGAAACAAGTATGAAGGCGGTGAGGAGCGAAAAAATGGCACAGAAAATGAAACCAATGATGGAAGAATGTTTCATGATTCAGAGCAAGAACACAAAAATTCCTGAGATTTGAAAGGGAAAAGGAGAGAGAGATGATTAGCGGATCAAAACCAATTGCGTGTCTTGATATGATTGGACGACGGTGGGTTACACCATTTCCTAATTTGGAAGAGTTTGATTCAGAGAGGGAACACAATATGACAGAAGACACAGAACCTATTTAGTGAGTTCACGTGATGATGTTGTTATACGCGAAGTGGGTGGGTTGTGTGTCAAAGTGCTTCATGTGAACTCTTGTATTTATATATTTGATAGCTGAGCACTTGAGCTACTTTAGTACTATATTTCCCACGAGAGGATGCTTTCGTTACAAGTTTACAAACCATTTCGTACCTTTTTTTTTTCAGATTGTGTGTTGGTGTGTGTATAAAAGAAACTTACGCCTGCAAAATTGAAGAGCACGCTCTTGTAGTCCACTCCCCAGGGACCATTTTCCTCTCGCATGCGAAGCTGTAGGCTCTAATGGGCTTGGTCGCATTAAGCCCAATGGTCTGAAATAATTATTTTAATTTGTTTTTTCTTTGAAGCCAGTTTCTAACACTCACATGGACTCTGAATATTTATTTATTTTTTGGTCAGAGGATCTATACATTATTTAATGTTTTCTTCCTAGCATTTTCCATTAGTAATAATAATGTTGTAAAAAGACACTAATAATATTTTATAATACGACCTAAAGATAACGTTTACTATGTAATAAAAAGACAACATTTTCCTTTAGTAATAATGTTGTAAAAAGACACTAGACACTAAAAGATAACATTTACTTGTAATAAAAAGACATTTTCATTACATAACTTTTTGGACGGTTTAATTCGTAAAAAATAGTATTATATAAAAAAGAAATTCTGGTGGCGAGCATCTTCGCTTCGCCGCTTGGGCGGTGGTGGTCGTGGTTTACTAATTTAACTGTGATTAACCGCAAACGATAATTCGAGTCTCGTCGTCTTCTGCTACTGTCACCTCCTTCACTTTTTAGCTCATTTTCAGAGAGGCTGAGCTCTATCTTCCTCTCTAGGACAACACCATGTCTGCTGCTGACGACGGCGACCCCACCAAATTCGCTGCGATCTACGACCCTTCCTCCCCTCTCCTCTCTAAACCCTCCACATCAGCTCTCGACTCCCCGCGTCGAAGCGATCCCGAATCCGACCCGACACAGTTCCTCCAGATCTCTTACAACTTCGGTCCAAGACCTTTCAAAGACATCACTTTCCTTCTCCTCTTCGACCTCTTCGTCTTCTCCACTTTCGCCTTCGGAATCTTCTCGATTTTCCATAGGAATAACGATTACGGAGACTCCTCTGCTTCCTTCACATACGATCTTTCTTCAAGCTCTTGCGTTAAAAACCAAACCTTTACTAATAAGAGTGCCGTCTTGTCTGAATCTGATCCGGTCTTTGAGAAGGATTTGATTTGGACTCTTGTTGTAACGCTAATTCTAAGCATACCCTTTTGTTTTCTTGTCTTGCTTTTGCTTAAACACTACACTAAGCAGATAGTTTACGCTTGTTTACCTCTCTTTGTAGTCTTTCCTGTCTTTTTCAATCTCTATTGGTTCGTCGCTTGTACTCTCTCCTCTTCTTGTAGCGACGCACTTCCTCTAGGTTACAGAGTCCTCGTCCTAGTGTTTGTTTTCTTGGTGATTGGGATCGTTGTTTGGATCATTGTAGCGAATTGGCATAGAATCGAGCTTACTATTCAGATCATCGGTGTTGCCTCGGATGCTTTGTCTAGAAACTTGAAGCTTTTTGTTGTGTTGCCGTTGCTGATACTGGGTTTGGTGGTGTTCTGTGCGCCGGTTGTGGTGTTCTTGGTGTTTGCTAGGTTTAATGGTGAGTTTGTGCCGAGGGAGGTGGATGGTGAGTATGTTTGTGAGTGGAAGGAAGATTCTTGGGTTCCTGCTTATTATGCGCTTGCTATTTTAACTATGATTTGGTCTCTTGCTGTGATGGTGGAGATGCAAGTTTATGTTATTAGTGGTGCTATTGCTCAGTGGTATTTCTCTAAGGAAGAGTCAATGCCTAAGAAATGTATACGGAGCTCTTTGAGGTGATTGTGATTCCCTACAATGGATTTGATTCCTTTAGTTTCTGTGCGGTGTTTGCTTACACATGATGCTCTTAGATAAAATTTAAGTTGTGTCATATCCACTTTAAAACTATTTTTTTGCCGTTTTGTCTTAGATTTGAGTGTAGGGAGGTCTTGTTTTAAGATCTCTTAGGTGTGCCTACTTCTTACTTCAATCCTCACATCCAAGTATTGTCTTACTTGTGCATGCTCTTGAGTCTTGAGCATTATGTGTATTCAATATGTGTATTAAAGTTTTTCATCTTATCTTGTTGTTACTTTGAATGTGAAAAGGCAAAAGCAAATTCTGGAAGAACAGATTTGAATCTGTGCTAATCTCTGAATATGTTGTGGTTTCTTTTTAATCATGTGTGAGCCTTACTCTGGTTTCACATTTCTATCTCTTTTCAGGAACGCATTTGGTCAATCCTTTGGTACAATATGTCTCTCAGGAATTCTCATAGCCGTTGTTCGTGTTGTCCGAGCCATTGTGGACAATGCTAGAGAAGAGAACCCACAAGGCATAGTGAACTTTGTTCTTCGTTGCTGCGCAAATACCTTGCTTGGAGCTTTTGACTATCTCAACAAGTTCACCATCAACTTTGCTGCAATAACAGGCGAATCTTATTGCACCTCTGCCAAAATGACTTACGAACTCTTAAGACGTAATCTACTCTCAGCTGTTTTTGTGGAAACAGTTTCCACTAGAATCTTAACCGGGATAGTCTTTGTCCTCTCAGCTGCTTATGCGGTCGCGGTAAGTATAAAAAACAATATGCTTCTTAGTCACTAACCAAAACTTTGAGTTACTAATTTATGTGTTTGATGACCAGACATGGGCTGTTCTGAGAGGAGTGAGCAGCTTGGGTGTAGATTCGTACTTGGTGGCTATTCTGGCGTGGCTCTTACTGAGTTTGGTCTTGGCTTTCTTTGTACATGTTCTTGACAATGTGATAGACACAATCTATGTATGTTACGCCATTGATAGAGACAAGGGAGAGGTTTGTAAGCAGGAAGTGCACGAAGTGTATGTTCACTTACCTATCAGCAGAAGCACAAGATCTGCCCTCATCCCAAATGCTCTTAATGCATAGAAGAACATGATCCCAGTGTATCTGCTTGTTTTTTTTACCTTTGTTTTTCACCATTGTAAATTCCTGAGTAGAGTGGATCTGGTGAATTGTCGTTTGTCTTGGGGATTATATTGACATTTTGTAGAGTTGTGGGATAATTTTGAATAAAAGAGTTTAAGAATCAACTCTAAATCAAAGATTTAAAATCAATTATCAATATTTTGTAGTTAACTGATTTCAATTTAAAGACATTTTTAGTGGTGAACTCTAAAATCTTTTCAATATGTTTTGCATTTTGATTTTAATCATTTGTTCATTAGACTCTATCACAAATGATTTGAAATCAGTTTTAAATGCACGAATTTTACTACACAACCAATGATCCAAAATCATCCAAAATCAATTTTAAATACAAAGAAATTACTTAAATCGAATAACTCTGAATTGTTAAAATAAGATTAAATTATTCGTTGAATAACAACATATATCTACGATTTAGTAAATACCATATCTAATAACATTGATTTCGAATCATATCCATTAATACTATATTTAATGATAGATTTTAGAATATAATTTTAAATTATATCATTCAAATACCAGTGGTTTTACTTAAATTTTTTTTTGACGTTGTTTTACTTTTTAAAATCTATTAAAAATACATAATTGAATAACACTCACTAAGTCTCTAATTATTTTATTTATTCTAGTTTTTGGTCAAATTTATTTATTCTTTGTTCTGTTTTTTAAACAAATATAAACCCCCAATGTGAACGTAATTGATCCCATCGAATCATTGTGTCAAAAACTAAAATAAGCATAAAATACAAGGGTCTTAAAGATAAAAGTAAAATTATTAAGAAGCACAAAGCGCTTATCGTCGGTCTAAATCTCAGAAGGTACCTGACTTTCTCTCTACGGCGACGCAAATTTGAAGAAAAAGCTTCTCTCTCTACTTCGACACAATGGTTCTCGAGGTGATTATCGAATTTCGTCACCTTCTAATTTCGATCTCTTCGTCGATCTCCTTGTTTGATTCGTATCTCATCACTCTAATTGGATGTATTCTTGTTGATCTATGCGTAGGCGACTATGATTTGCATCGACAACTCCGAGTGGATGCGAAACGGAGATTACTCTCCCTCTAGGTTACAGGCTCAGACCGAAGCTGTTAATCTTCTCTGCGGAGCCAAAACCCAGGTATAAAATTGAAAACTTGATTCGATTAGGGTTTTTGATTGTGGTGTTGGCTCTTATTTAGGGATTTTTCTTTCCACTGGATTCGATTGGGGTTTTGGATTGTGATTTTAGGGATTTTTTGTTGTGTAATTGCAGTCGAATCCGGAGAACACTGTGGGGATTTTGACAATGGCAGGGAAAGGAGTTAGGGTTTTGACAACTCCTACCTCTGATCTTGGCAAGATTCTGGCGTGTATGCATGGTAAGACTCTAGTGCAGAAAAGATTGGAACTTTGACATCAATTTTGGCTAACTTGATGTTATCATTTTTGAAGGTCTTGATGTGGGAGGAGAGATTAACTTAACAGCTGCGATTCAGATTGCTCAGCTTGCTCTTAAGCATCGTCAAAACAAGAATCAACGCCAAAGGATTATTGTTTTTGCTGGAAGGTAATGACTTTCTGGTGTGAAGATGCATAGTTATCTATTTTTTAATATATAGATATAGTTATCTAATGTTTGTGGTGTGTTTCTGTTTTTTTAGCCCAATCAAGTATGAGAAGAAGGCTTTGGAGGTTGTTGGGAAAAGGCTCAAAAAGAATAGTGTCTCTCTTGACATTGTGAATTTTGGAGATGATGATGATGAGGAAAAGGCTCAGAAACTGGAGGCCCTCCTTGCAGCTGTCAATAACAATGACGGTAGCCACATTGTTCATGTTCCTTCTGGAGCCAATGCTCTCTCTGATGTGCTTCTCAGGTATCATTAGTTTTCTTCTTCGCCAGAATTTCTTTAGGTAGATTGTAGTTGGAACAGCTCATACATTATCCATGTTGAGAAAAGCATTGCATGTGGTTTGCTTTAGGTCTATTAGCTCTGGAGTCTTTAAAGAACTTTGTTTGATCTAGTTGTTTTAATCTATACAAGTCTTATTACCTGTTGAAATTATCGTTGTAATGCGGAACTCTTACATTTTCTTGCAGCACACCTATATTCACTGGTGATGAAGGTGCAAGTGGGTATGTTTCTGCGGCAGCAGCTGCAGCTGCAGCGGGTGGTGGTGACTTTGACTTTGGTGTGGATCCAAATATCGACCCAGAGCTTGCTCTCGCCCTTCGAGTCTCCATGGAGGAGGAGAGGGCAAGGCAAGAGGCTGCTGCTAAGAAGGCAGCGGATGAGGCAGGTCAGAAAGACGGGGATACAGCTTCGGCCTCACAGGAGACGGTTGCTAGGACAACTGAGAAGAACGCTGAACCAATGGTTAGTCGTTAGTCACTTTGTGTGTCTATCCTTCGTAGTAGCGTATCATTATTATATAGCCACAGCGCAAGCATTATTTATCGTAGAACATATTTTATTAATCAATTTTTTTTGGCAGGATGAGGACAACGCATTGCTAGATCAGGCAATTGCTATGTCTGTAGGTGATGTAAACATGTCAGAAGCAGCGGATGAGGATCAAGATTTGGCTTTAGGTGAGTTAGAGCTGTGTGGTAAAATCATATTTGTTGCTATCGAAATCAGCCTTTGCTTGTAAATGGAACCTTTAGAAGGTAAAAGTCAGACCCTTATGTTTGAGTCTGATCCATGTGCAGCTCTGCAAATGTCTATGAGTGGGGAAGAGTCAGGTGAAGCAGCGGGTGCTGGAAACCTTTTAGGAGATCAAGCTTTCATATCATCTGTTCTCTCATCGGTAAGCTTTACTTAAATAAACGTCACGATTTTGACAAGCAAAATGAAAGAGGAAAGTAGATTGGTCCTAACTGTTTGTCAACACACAGCTTCCAGGGGTGGATCCAAATGATCCAGCGGTTCAAGCACTGCTAGCGTCTCTTCCAGACGAATCAAAGGTGCGTCTTACATTGGTTTGTACATCTTTTGTCGGTTGATAAAGAAGATTCTGTGATAATGATTTATTATGTTAAAATTTGCAGCGTAACGAGGAAGAGAGTAACAGCAAAGGTGAAGATGAGAAGAAGTGAAGGAGACATACCTATCTCTATGGCTCTCAATAAAATGCCTCTCTTTAGTTTGGTTTGATAGAGAGATCATATGAGACTGAAAAAGAACTCTCTCCCTTATGACCTTGTTTGTTCTCACACTTTTCATTAACGTTATCTGTTGGTAAAAAAATCGGTCATGAACCCCTGGCAAGTCGTTGGATCATTTCGATTGTTCGGTCTAAGCGTCAAAAGAAAATGAAACCGATAAAATCGGCAAGGAGTAAATATAAGCACTTTTAGCAGAGAGCAAGACAGGTCGCAAACATGTGATATAAGGAAGTCTGAATCCAAGTTTTATGATTCCGGCCTAACCAATTTTAACAGCAAAACAAATGTTGTGACAAAATTTTATACCTCTCTTATAGAACTAGATAGGGAAAAGACAAAAGATGTCGCGAGACTCACACCTACAAAATTAAAAAGAAAGAAAACTACGTACTATAAGAAATAAAAATCTAGTAGAAGCTTCTATTGCATCTACCTAACATCTTTGAAAAAGCGGATTAAAGATATAAAATTAAAATTAAATAAAGGCTTTTTAGAAAGAAGAAGAGGCAGGTGTGTCTGTCTTCTTCACTTGTGTGGTCATCTTTGTTTTGTTCTTTTCCTTATTCTCCTTATCCTCGGTTCTCTGCCACTCTTCTCTTCCATCCCTCTCATTTCCAAATATCTTATCAAATGTACATTGATAATCCAAACTTTCCAAATGTAATCACTCAGAACAAAAAGTACATATCAAAACTATGAACACATGTAGATTTTTGGTTAGAACAGTGATTTCGGATAGTTGTTGTAACCAGAGCGATATGTCTTTATACCATCTCTTCATCAGAATGATGTATTCCATGCAAGTAAAGTCATCGCAATTAGTATTGCCAGCAACTTATTAAAATACTGAAAATAGTTGTATCTATTATTTTGGGATTTGAGATATGAGAGATAAATAGTAGAGGACTTCTTTAGAAGTTTTGTGGAGATTATTAACGAACGTATCCAACCCCGGTCTACTTAATAATCATCATACGATAGAACTATGTTTTACTTTACGACTTTCTAAATTCAAGCATTTTATTTGCGTCAACATATGAGCAGGGTATGTTGCATGTGTGGTATCATATTCATGCATGTGGAATTGTGGTTTGTGGATACATATATGTATTATATGTCTAAATGCATCGCAAGTGGACAAAAGATGATGAATGGTTGGTATACAAGTTGGTAGGGAGATAGGTAGTGAGAAATAAATAGAGTTTGGTAGAAGAAAGGTCCACTGGTTTGGTTGTTGCTTCTTTCATTTATGTTATTTTCCTTTCAATATCTAATATTAATGTTGCTCCTACAACTTATCTACAAGCTTCACTCTCCACTTGTCATGCATCGGTTGGATTTATTTCCATCTCATATACTTCATAGTTCATAAATAGATCTTTTGTTAGAAAGCTTAAAACAACAAGACACATGCATCTCGTTATAATCTGAGCATTATATGCTGAAACCATGTACTAATAATCTCTTCTCCTTATTTGGCTTATCTCCAACATAGGATAATGAGTTTTTTTTGGGAAACTAACCTCTAACTGCATAAACTAATCTCAACCATAAGAAATTATATCTTACCATACGATTAGGTTAGTTTAAAGCATTTAAAACTACTAAACTCAAACTATGTTGATTTCTCAATGGAAAATTTAATTATCACATATAATTCCTGGATCCGGTACATATTTAATATTTTTGAAATGAAATGTTTCGTTGAGTAAGAAAATATGTACTACATATAGTTTAAAATCCAACAGTAAATGTTTTTTTTTTCATACAAAGTGATGAATAATAGTGTGTACCTTCAAATTAATTCTCTAGGCAAAAAAAAAAAGTTTGTACAGTTACGCACTTAGCTTAATTTGACAAAATATTATATCATCTCCAAGCTTCGAAGACCAAAAAGAGAAGTAGTAGTCTCTTTCTTTGCCAACCCTAAAAAATCAAATCCGTTGCTGATGTCACTCCCCTTGCCAGTACTGCCGCTGCTACCTCCAACTACATCACATCTCATGTTCCCACATCTACACTCCATGCCGTTTATCATCCCTAAACTGCACTTGAAACAACGCGCCCTTGTTGACTTTCCCTCTCCGACGACCAAGACTTGATGATGACGATGATCAACAACATCAGGAAGACTGATTCTGAGGTCAAGATTCAAATCTGGCAACTTTTCTTGAATTGTGCTCTCATCTTTTTCCTCTTTGAACGTAAGCATTGAGACTTTCTCTGATTTTACTTGAAAACTTGTGTTTTCCATCTTTGGAGTAGAAGAGGAAGAAGTGAAGGAGATGTTAATGGTGTTACTATTTATTGGTTCCACTAGTTGTGTAGGTTTAGAATCTTGAGAAGCTGATGATGATTCTTGGACTGGTCTATGAGTTGTTGGATCAATCCCTCTGTTTATAAGCTTTCTTCGTATATGTGTGTTCCAATAATTCTTTATCTCATTATCTGTTCTTCCCGGTAATCTCCCGGCAATAAGCGACCATCTATATATTTAAAAAACAATATAAATATAAGTTTTTTTTTTTTGGTAAAATATAAGTTTAGCATCAAGCTTCTTTTTGTTGATTTGCATGAAATTTTAATAAGAAAGTCTCTAAGTACTCACTTGTTTCCAAGAAGGCTATGGAGCTTGATGATGAGCTCGTCCTCATCCTCGGTGAAGTTTCCACGCTTTAGGTCAGGCCGAAGATAGTTGATCCACCGGAGACGGCAGCTTTTGCCACACCGGAGAAGGCCGGCGGCTTTGGGGAGAGATCTCCAGCAGCCTTCACCATGAGTTTTGATGTAAGATATGAGCCTCTCGTCCTCTTCTTTCGTCCATGCTCCTTTGTTTGTGTGAGCTTTCTCACAACACGGTGACCTTCCCATACTTCTTTTTTTCTTTCTGTGTTTAGATCTTATAATTTCTTGATATGAGAATATTACATATATATAAATATAAAGAGGTGTGAATTAAATCAAGTGTGTTCTTGTTACTTTATATGTATACTGGTGGAATTGGCTTTTAGCGAGGGTTTTGGCTAAAAGGGTATAAAGGGACTAACTTGATTTTTTGGTCTAGTGGAGGAGGATTGGAGCATTTGGTGGGGCACTTGGATTTTGGGTTTGGTTGAAGGTTCAAAGCTTTGGTGTATAGTTTATATAGGGTTTTGACTTAAAGGTAGAGAGGTGTACATATATATATAGATTGTATACAATTACTTCTAGATGATAGAAGAGTAGAGAGAGAGAGTTGAACTTGTAATTGCTTCTAGATGTGAGTTGGTGGGATGGATTTGAATGAGTAGTGTATGGTGGCCTTTCACTTTGGTACAATAAGTGAGAAGCTTGACATATATGGCATCATCGTCTTTTTAAAAAGTTTTTTTTTTTTCTAATAAACATGACAGTGACAACAATTTAATATTTTATTGTCAAAATACATTAACCAAAGAAAAGTATTGAAGTTGATGGTAAAATGTTTTGTGGCACACCGTAAACTCACCTGTCCCGGATTTGATTCATATTGGAAACAAAATTATTGATAGTTGATCAGATTGTTCTTGAGTATCGGTCAATACAATTTGCATGATAGTCCAATTACAGATGATCTAACTATCTCTTGAGATGAGTCTGAAAATGTTACAAATTTGGATCATAGAGTATAGTGATTGTTCACCAGCGATTTGGTTGGACACGAATTTCTAGGTCGTTTTTTAATTTATTTTTTTGTTTGACTTTTTCAAAAAAAAAAAAAAAAATTGGTAAATTATGATCCGTCTTGTGACGAACTAGTGATTCATCATGGTGAATTCACACGACGCGGATTCATTATTTTTTGTCACGAAAAACGTGTGAACCTCCCTTATAATCCCCCAATGAGAATTTTCTAAATATGTTTCTTCCGGGATTGATTTAATCATCGGATATAACATACCAAAAAATTGTATTTAATCAATACGTTATACTAATACATATTTTCAAAATGTTCGAACAATTTTTGTTTCTTTGCTTTCTTTCCTTGCATTACAACAATTTTCATCTTTATCCTAAAACAGACATTAAAAAAATATATTATATCATCTAAATTCTTCGGCGGACATAAAATTAGTGTTCACAAATCAATCTTTAACTTCGACCGGCTTTAATAGTACATCAGGTAAGTTTACAAATTTTTGCACGTTTTAATTGCATAATCAAGGTTGTAATAAAAGCAGGAGAGAATAAAAATTCAATTAAACATAGAAAATCCGAAATTCGGTAAACCAACGAGGATGGGTAATTAAGTTGTGGAGGTAGGTGGTAAAGTTAATGAGTGATTTTGAACAAGTGCTGGTCAACTATAGGCTGTGTGGTTTGTACTGGTCAGTATATAGACTGCACTCTGTTAATTATTATTTTTAATTATTTCGAAACCCTAATACAATCTAACACAAAGCACTATCAAGTAAATAACTAGGTGGGCATGGTAACTTATAGAAATATCTGGTTCTAAATTTTCTCTCAAATGACAAGCCCTTCGTGTTTAACATATTTGTGATCATGGTCATGTTTCTTTTACATGCATATAAAAAGTCTAACAGAAATTAAACTCGACCACATTTTATAAATTTGTTATTTACAAAAAAAAGTCTTAGAGAATATACAGAATAACCACCAATATAATTTCTTTTTTTAAAGAACCACCAAACAGAATATATATAAATATATATTTCTTGAACATAACTACGTGCCTTCTAGAACCTTGATTTAGAATGGTTTTCTGATCCAGCCAACTTTTTAAAAATTCCAGACTTGAACACCAAGACTTGACATCACTAGTTGTATATAATACTTTTAACCATTAACTGGAGTACTGAACTGTATAATATCACTAGCTGGATACCTTTTGTAGAACATGATAAGTTGAAAAACTAATCGTTTCCATCGTATTATTGTAATTAAATGTGACTATGTAAGAAAAAAGTTAAACGATTACAATAGTTAGTAGATTAGTACAGTAGTTATCTTGTCCGTATGTATGCGTACCCATATATATTTCAGACAAAAGTGGAACTAAATTGTGAAATTTGGTAAGTTAGGTGGAAATCTTGAGAAGACTTTTAAAATAATAATGGTTTATTGAAAGAGATGGGAAAAAACGAAAAAGAGAGAAAGTTGTTGAACTTCAATTTTTAAAATCTCTTGGTATACAATCACTCACCTCATGCATGATGAGGGCACTCTTCTAGAACGTTAGGTTCTCAGCTAAAGGCCAAGATTCTTCAAATCAAAACAGAACCTTTGTTATTATACATTTGAATCAAATCATCAAACCCCAAATTCACTTTTAACATTCACCAAATACCCTAATTAAATAATTTCTTGATCTGTTTTCTTTACGATCTATTAAAATAGGACCAAAATAGACTAATTAACTTGTATATTGTTTTATGAAAAAAACAAATGCATAAACACTACACGCAAGGAGCGTATTAAACATCATCGTTTACATAGTGAAGTTCTGCTGAATTATTATTTATGCATATATGTAGTTGAATAACAATTTGTTACTATTAGTATATAATGGCCTAATGGGATTGTAAATAATGTGGACGAAATAGCGATGTGCGATTGAATAATAACATTTTTTGGTTCGATTATACTATAGATGCACTATAGTGATTTTTTTTTGTTGAAATAATAGCATTTTGTTAGTACTATTACTAACAATTTTGTCATTTTCTTGGCGTAAGTGATATGTTTAAGAGTTGGATAGTTATATACTATTTTTAAGTTGTATGCGGTTGGGGACGTGGGGTTTGGTTCACCTTCCACTTTTTATTTTCAATTGTTTTAATAATGGATTCATATTTAAATATTTTAACATTGTGTATGATTTTTATATGACCTCATTTATTATAAGGTAGATGTTAATTGAAAACCAAATGAGTATCTTTTTTTTTTGCTCGTAAAAGTTCTGATAAACTATAGTATGGGAATGTAAGATATGATCGGTTACCCGTGCGAAGACGTGAAAATAAGTTGGATGGTTGGTGAAGGACCGACGGTGGTGGATTAATAATACATAAATATGGTCACAGTCACACACACATATCTACTTGTATAGATATGTAGAAGTGGATATAATATATAGAGGTCCATATTAACCAAGTGTAGATAACTGTGAAGGTATTTAATTGTGCCTAGCTACTCTTTTTCAGTTGAATTTTCATCATTGCTGAGCCTTTGATTATTTATCTCTTTTTTTTTTTTTGGTCAAACACATACTTCATTCATTCATAAGAAAGGTTCACTCCCTAGAGGGAGACAAAATAGATAGAGAGAGTGCTGATTTAGCCACAACATCAGCCTCTTGGTTTTGCAACCGAGGGACAAACATAAAAGATAGAGAGTCAAATAACATGCTAAAGTGATAGATATCGAACATAATCCCAAAAAGTGCTGGTCTAGACTACTTGTTCTTCAGCAGAGAGATGAGAGTTTGGGAATCAGACAAGACCGTAAGAGATTGAATGTTGGATGCAGCGGCCGCCATAACCGCGAAACGAACCGCAATGGCTTCAGCCATTAGAGCGGAGGAAATACTAGGGAGAGACTGGCAGATAGTAGGGATCGTAACATATGTAGACTTGAAAATGCAGCCAACTCCACACCGCAACGTTGTCGAGCACCAAGCAACATCGACGTGACAGGAAGGTCCCACAAATTAAAGTTCGGGTAGGAGGGGAGCGTCCAATAGTGAGTGAAGCCGCAGGGATGGAAGCCGCGTCGAGACGATCGGTGAGGTACACCTGCTGCCACTCCAATGCGTCCTTGATTGCCTTGAGCAAAATTTCCTGGCTTGTGAATAATCTGCCATCAAATAATAACTTGTTACGAGCTTTCCAGAGGTTCCATAAAATCCAAGGCCACAAGGGTATTACAATACCCACAGGAGGTAAAGCAATCATTCTTTCTCCTAAAGATAGAAGAGTAGCAAGAGATGGTATAACACCATCAGGTTTCCAAGCTAAGGGAGCTAACTCCCAGACAGCCGCAGCCAAAGGACACGAGATAAAGGTGTGGAGATCGTCCTCTACACCACCACAATGTTTGCAGAGGAAAGCAGGGATCCCACGTCTAGCGAGGTTGAGCTAACAGGGATCGCTTTGTTAATGACTTTCCAGAGAAAATCTTTGAGCTTTGGGGAAGTCTTAACATTCCATATATGTTTCAGCCAGTCAAAGTTAGAGCAGTGATGAATCGTGTTAGTTTCAGACGCTGTGGCAATCCCATAATTATTTATCTCTAAATTCAACAAAACGGTGATGAAAATATGTTATTCAAACTACAGTTTTACAAAAGGAGATCAAACATACCTTAAACCAAGGCAAACGTAAATCAATTTATGACAAAGTTTCGGAGGAGATGCGATTTGAGCATAACGGGTAAACCAGATTTGGTGCAATCTGTATATTTTGTTGGACAACCCAATTTATAGAACGAAAATGAGATCTTAAGCCACCACACATGTGACAATTTGAAGCAAAACCATATTTTGATTACCAAATAATTTCGAACAATAGGGCAAAAAAGGTCATACCGTTAAAGGCGTGGGTATAATTTACAAGGGCATGCATGCAGTTTATATGATTGATAGTCCAATTTCATTACATTCATGTGTTTCTTTGGCCTGGTTCACTTTTAACTTCATGCAACGACAACCCGTTTAAGAGTGAATGGCTTGCAAAGTGACTAGTAAACAGTGTCATGGTTTTGATAAAATCGATCGGTTATAAGTTATAACCTTAAACACAAACCAATCTGTAAGTTCCAACCAGGGCATACAAAAGAACTAAGAGCATGATTATCCCAGCACCTCATTAGGGGGTATTTAATTTTTATTTATTTTTTTTATTTTTTTCGGATTTAAAAAAAAAAACAGAAAATGACTAATCGTGGGATGTCACGTGTCGGGGACCCGCATAACAGGCCAAGTCACAACCCAAAAAATGCTTATTCTACAGTTTGAGGTGTGACTTTTGTTCTGTTTGTGGTCCCTCTTCCCCTAAGCGCTCCCTTTAGCATCAGGGATAAATGTGCTCTAATGTAACATGATTATACATATCGTCATGTACTTTTGGGAATGTACAATAAATTTTCTATGTCTACATCCACTTAACAAACTCAAACCCGAACAACCAAAATTCATACCTTTAGATTTTATATTGAATTATTGATGATGGCTAAAAAAAAAGAAGAATATATTTGCATCTTAATTTGTATATACATCTCGTCGTTAGTTAAGTAGATCAATAGATTATTATTTTCATATTTATTTCCTTGAAAACTCATATTTTTCCATACTAAAATCACAATATTATATTTGTATTTTGTATTTGTGTATGTATGTCTTTTTGATATATATCAAGGATAGTAGAGTTAAAAGATAAGAAAGTGAAGCTCCATAACGGGCCTTAACCCGTGCTTGCAGGTATCGATAACTAATGGTCGGCCCTGGCCTCATATCATGGGCTTATTTTCTTTACATTTATCCAGCCCATGATAACAAATAAAAACGGTACCGTTTAGAGCTCAATGGAGCTGAATCACACGTAGCGGGGATCCCCGTGTCAGTTCTTGTCCGAAAACCTGGAAGGGAGTAAAAACGGGATCGTATTCGCCTCGCGTGATTATATATATTTTGAGCAAAAGCCCTTTTCTCTGCTTCTCATTGTTCCCCCACTCGATTTAGGGTTTCCTTCCTCCCTCTCGTGATTCCGATCTCACAATCTCAAATCCGAATTGCATCATCAACAGCTCCGATCAAGGCTCTTCTTCTGCGCTGTAACGATCTCGTTAGCGAATTAGGGTTTCGAACCGATCGATTTTGAAATCAATTTTTTCAAAGAGCTGAGATGCGATCAGAATCTCTCTGATTGATAGAGAGAGATAGAGATCGAATCTCGGTTTCTTTCCTTTGTATGGAAACTCGAAGCCGCAAGCGTGCGGAGGCGACCTCAACTGCCCCATCTTCTTCCTCCTCTCCTCCTCCTTCAGGTCCCACCACTCGTAGCAAACGCGCTCGCCTCTCGTCTTCCTCCTCCTCCTCCTCAGTCGCCGCCGCTACCACCGCCACCGCACCTTCCTCATCCACTCGCTCTCGTTCCTCTCGCTCCACCTCTACAGCTACTCCCATGGACACAGAGTCTTCTGGATTCCGCCGCGGCGGCGGAGGAGGAAGAGGTAACAGGGGAAACGATAACTCCGACAAGGGAAAAGAGAAGGAGCATGAAGTTAGGATTAGGGATAGAGAAAGAGAGAGAGCTGCTAGACAACAGCTCAACATGGAAGCAGCTGCTGCAGCCGCCGCGGCGGCTGATGAGGATGATGATAATGATAGTGAGGATGGAAACGGTGGATTCATGCATCCAAACATGAGCTCAGCGAGCAGTGCTTTACAAGGATTGCTTAGGAAGCTTGGAGCTGGACTTGATGACTTGCTTCCTTCCTCTGGTATCGGAGGCTCGGGCTCTTCTTCTCACTTGAATGGGAGGATGAAGAAGATACTTGCGGGATTGCGTTCCGAAGGAGAAGAGGGGAAGCAGGTGGAGGCGTTGACTCAGCTCAGTGAGATGTTATCTATTGGGACTGAAGACTCCTTGAGCACGTTCTCTGTTGATTCCTTCGTCCCGGTTCTTGTTGGTCTGCTTAACAATGAAAGTAATCCGGATATTATGATTCTTGCTGCTAGGGCTCTTACTCATCTTTGTGATGTGTTGCCTTCTTCTTGTGCTGCTGTTGTTCATTACGGGGCTGTTTCTTGCTTTGTGGCAAGATTGATAACAATAGAATACATGGACTTGGCCGAACAGGTTAGCTATTTCAGCAATTCTTGAGATTTTGTTGCTACACATATCCAATATTTTAATTTACTTAGCGATCAAAATTTGAAATTTGATTTCATATGTATTTTACAACAGTCTTTGCAAGCTCTCAAAAAGATATCTCAGGAACACCCAACGGCCTGTTTGCGAGCAGGTGCTCTTATGGCTGTGCTATCATATCTGGATTTCTTCGCCACTGGAGTCCAGGTTTGTAATTTTGCAACTTTTTTTTTTATGCTTTTTTTCATACTTGTGTGTATCTAATGTCAATATTACGTGGCTTATTGTAGCGTGTTGCACTAGCCACTGCTGCAAATATGTGCAAGAAGTTACCTTCTGATGCATCTGATTATGTTATGGAAGCTGTACCGTTATTGACAAACTTACTTCAGTATCATGATTCGAAGGTACTTGATCTTTTTTTTTTTGTGGCTAGAATGTGGTACTATCTAGTATCGCTCTTTCCTCAGGTTCCTTGATAATATGTTCGTACGGTGGCAGGTTTTGGAATCTGCTTCTATCTGTTTGACTCGGATTGCCGAAGCATTTGCATCGCACCCTGAGAAATTAGATGAATTATGCAACCATGGCCTGGTGACTCAAGCTGCGTCTCTTATATCCACTAGCAACTCCGGAGGTGGGCAAGCATCTCTCGGTGTTTCGACATACACGGTATGAGTAATTTCTTTTGTGTTTCTCTTTATCTTTATTCAGAGGATGACATTTTCACGATATTCTGTACAGGGGTTAATCCGATTACTTTCCACCTGTGCGAGCGGGTCACCTCTTGGATGCAGAACATTACTGCTTCTCGGTATTAGTAGCATTCTTAAGGATATTCTGTCGGGTTCTGGTGTCTCTGCTAATGCATCTATATCCCCAGCACTGAGCAGGCCTGCAGATCAGGTACTGATTTACTTGTTGACATCACAAACTTTATTTTGTTCAATTCCTCATAACATAGCACTAGCTGTTATATAACTGGTGCACAACAAGATGCTTAGGGGACACCTTCAAATATATCACTTGAACTTAGATTATTCCATATTCAGCTCGATCATAGTCTATTGACATGTATTTTGAGCTTTATTTAAGCTGTAGCCGATGGCTCAAGTTTCATATGCTTGTTTTCTAGTATTGTGTTATAGGTGGAATAGATAGAAGCGGTTCATCAGTATGTTCTACCTTGTATATTTTACTTTCATCCCATGGCTCTTCAATTCTTGAATTTATGCTTGAACATGATCATGCGAGGTCTTTTGTTTCCAGAAAGGTGCTGGATTACAATTTATCTCTTGTTTTGCATTTTAGATTTTTGAGATAGTCAACTTAGCGAACGAGCTCCTCCCTCCATTGCCAGAAGGAAGTATCTCCCTTCCTACTAGTGCAAACACATTGGTGAAAGGTTCAGGCCCAAAAAAATCTTCTCCAAGTACTTCAGGAAAACAAGAAGATTCTCTAAAACTTTCACCTAGAGAACAATTACTTCGTGATCAACCCGAACTTCTTCAGCAATTTGGATTGGATCTTCTTCCAGTTTTAGTGCAGGTAATTTCTTTTGCAGTTGCTACGAAATAATGTTCATACTACCACCTGTATGTCTGACTACCCTTGTTTTCTTTCCAACAGATTTATGGTTCTAGTGTCAATGGTACTATTCGTCATAAATGTCTCTCAGTTATCGCAAAGTTGATGTATTTCAGCACTTCAGAAATGATTCAGTCTTTAATTGGTGACACAAATATATCGAGGTATGCTGCTTATGTTTTAAATTATGTCTCACATGATAGTGGACGCAACTTCTTATATATAATAAGATATATTTTGTATGTAGCTTCTTGGCTGGTGTCTTGGCATGGAAAGATCCACAAGTCTTGGTTCCTGCTCTACAAGTTGCAGAAATTCTCATGGAGAAACTTCCTGAAACTTTTTCGAAAGTGTTTGTGAGGGAAGGGGTGGTTCATGCTGTAGATCAACTTGTCTTGGTTGGTAAACCTATTTCTTATGCTTCTCCTACTGATAAGGAAAATGACTGTGTACCTGGATCCGCACGATCTAGGCGTTATAGACGGCGAAATAGTAATGCCAGTTCTGATGGAAATCACTCGGAAGAGGTTAAGAATTCTGTGTCTGCTAGCATAGGTGCAAACCATAATTCCCTGGAATCTCCTACAGCGAGCTTCATGCTAAGGGAAACAGTTAGCTCCTGTGCAAAAGCGTTTAAAGACAAGCACTTCCCGTCTGATGGTGGGGAATTTGATGTTGGAGTTACAGATGATCTCTTGCATCTGAAGAATCTTTGCACAAAGCTAACTGCTGGTACAAATGATCACAAAGTTAAAGGAAAGGGAAAATCTAAAGCCTCTGGGCCATGCCTTGGCGATTTTTCTGCTAGCAAGGAAGAATACTTGATTGGTATCATCTCCGAGATACTTGGCGAGCTAAGCAAAGGGGATGGCGTCTCAACTTTTGAGTTTATTGGCAGTGGTGTGGTTGCAGCATTGCTTAACTATTTTTCTTATGGATACTTTTCCAAAGAGAAGATATCCGAGTTTGATTTGCCCAAACTTCGTCAGGATGGGCTCAGAAGGTTCAAAGCTTTTCTAGAAGTTGCACTTCCCTCTGATGGTAGTGAGGGAAAGATCCCTCCAATGACTGTTTTAATTCAGAAACTTCAAGATGCTTTATCTTCACTGGAACGTTTTCCGGTCGTTCTTAGCCATCCCTCAAGGTCACTCAGTGGAAGTGCTCGTCTCTCATCTGGATTGAGTGCGTTGGCACAACCTTTGAAGTTGCGGTTGTGCCGTGCTCCAGGAGAGAAGGCACTACGTGATTACTCCTCCAATATTGTTCTCATAGATCCATTGGCAAGCTTAGCAGCGGTGGAGGAATTTCTCTGGCCCCGTGTTCAACGCAGTGAATCTAGTGTGAAGCCAGCAGCGCCTACTGGAAATACTGAGCCAGGCACATTACCTAGCAGTGCTGGTGTTTCATCACCATCCTCGTCTACTCCAGTTTCCACCACTCATCGTCCTTCTTCTAGATCTAGATCAGCAATTAACATAGGTGAAGCCTCAAAGAAAGAACCTGTCCATGAGAAAGGTACCAGCTCATCTAAAGGTAAAGGTGTCATGAAGCCGGCTCAGCGGGATAAGGGGCCTCAAACAAGGAGCAGTGCTCAGAGGAGAGCTGTCCTTGACAAAGATACACAAATGAAACCAGTTAGCGGAGACTCCAGCTCTGAGGTATGTCATTGTAGAAAGTTCTGGATTACACCGTCGTTTATTGTGTTACATCATGTGGTATTGGTTTTTGTGGTGTGATCTGCTTATGCAGCACTATCTTACTTATATGCCTTGCAGGATGAAGAATTGGATATATCTCCCGTTGACATGGATGATGCTTTGGTGATTGAAGAGGAAGACATTTCTGACGATGAAGATGATGAGGATGAGGATGTAAGTATTCCAGTATGTCCATTACAAACGCAATTATTTATCTTGCTAAAAACATGAAATATGCTACATTTAGCCATAATGCTTTACCAGCTTCCGTATTTTTAGATAAGTTAACATTATACCACAAATTCTCTTATTTATCTGGTTGCTATCGATGGGTATTTCTTTATAGATTACATGTGGTCTTGAATTCAGGTCTTGGATGACAGTCTCCCCATGTGCACACCTGATAAGGTTCATGATGTAAAATTGGGGGATGCAGTGGATAGTGACGGTGCCGGTCTAGTAACTAGCGGCGGACAGATGAATTCAGCTTTAGGAGGCACTAGTGGAACAGCTGCTGCAAGGGGATCTAATTCTACTGATACTGGCATTGGGAATCTTTACGGTTCTAGGGGTGCACTCTCCTTTGCTGCTGCCGCGATGGCTGGGCTTGGAGCGGCCAGTGGTAGAGGTATCAGGGGAAGTAGAGACCTGCATGGGCGTACCCTGAATCGAAGTTCTGATGAGTCCTCTAAGTTGATGTTTACTGCGGGAGGGAAGCAACTTAGTAGGCATATGACGATTTATCAGGCTGTGCAACGACAACTTATGCTAGACGAAGATGAAGATGACAGGTTCGGTGGCAGCGATTTCATCTCGAGTGATGGAAGCAGATTAAATGATATTTGTACTATCATGTACCAGATGCCGGACAGCCAAGCGAATAGGTTGTCTGCTGGTGGTGCAAGTTCTACCACAGCGTCTAAATCCTCTAAATCTGCTACTGCTAATACAAGCGTAGAATCCCAGTCGTATAGGGCATCTCTTCTGGATAGTATCTTACAAGGAAAGCTTCCATGTGACCTTGAGAAGTCAAATTCTACGTATAATGTTCTGGCCTTGTTGCGTGTATTAGAGGGTTTAAATCAGCTTGCCCCTCGGTTAAGAGCCCAAGCTGTTTCTGATCATTTCGCAGAGGGTAAAGTTACAAGTCTAGATGATCTAGATACAACTGCTGCTAAGGTTTCTCACGAAGAATTCATCAACAGCAAACTTACACCCAAATTAGCTCGACAGATCCAGGATGCGCTTGCTTTGTGTAGTGGAAGTCTTCCTTCTTGGTGCTACCAGTTGACTACAGCATGCCCGTTTTTGTTTCCGTTTCAGACCCGGAGACAGTATTTCTATTCAACTGCCTTTGGGTTGTCGCGTGCATTAAACCGTTTGCAGCAGCAGCAAGGTGCTGACGGCAGTGGTTCTTCAAATGAACGAGAGATGAGAATAGGGAGATTGCAGCGCCAGAAAGTCCGTGTATCTCGAAATAGAATATTAGATTCTGCTGCGAAAGTTATGGAGATGTATTCTAGCCAAAAAGCTGTGCTTGAAGTAGAATATTTTGGTGAAGTTGGTACTGGTCTAGGCCCCACACTTGAGTTTTACACACTCCTAAGCCATGATTTGCAAAAGGTTTCCCTCGGGATGTGGAGATCAAATTCTGGTGACAAGGTATCTATGCAAACTGATAGAGATGAGATTCAAGACGGGAAATCAGCAGCTGCTAGGGACAGAGATATAGTTCAGGCACCACTTGGGTTGTTTCCACGTCCCTGGCCCTCAACAGCTGATGCATCTGAAGGTAGCCGGTTTCATAAAGCTATTGAATATTTCCGCCTCTTAGGGCGCGTGATGGCAAAGGCACTTCAAGATGGACGGCTAATGGACGTCCCGTTGAGTACAGCGTTTTATAAGCTTATTCTTGGTCAAGTGAGTTTCTTTGTTACTATCATTAATTTGTTTTATTTAAGCTAAGAGTAGACTAGTAGTTTCGACTTCTGTACTTTGTTCGTAATTTCTTGGCTCTTTTCTTCTCTCACCTGAACAGGAGCTTGATTTGTATGACATTATATCATTTGATGCTGAGCTTGGCAAGACTTTGCAAGAGCTTCGTGTTCTTGTTGATCGTAAGCACTATCTGGAAGCAGAAGATGGTGACAACAGTAGCGTGATTTCTGATTTGTGTTTACGTGGATCCCGTATTGAAGATCTTTGCTTGGACTTCACCCTACCCGGCTATCCTGAATACATATTGAGACCAGGAGATGACATTGTACCGTCTAAGCTTACATCCCATATCTTACTTTTAGTTCTTTTCCATTGTTGCTGATGCCGTACTGATTCTGTTCTATTACAGGTTGATATAAATAGTCTTGAGGACTATATATCCTTGGTCGTTGATGCTACTGTCAAGAGAGGAGTTGCCCGGCAGATTGAAGCCTTCAGATCTGGGTTCAATCAGGTTTGCGGTTTCACAGACTCTCCGCTATGTCTTTTAGTTTTTCCTGTTGGCTTTGGCTTCGGCTTCTAAATCATATAGAATGAGTGGTTTTCTCTTGGTTCATAATCTTATAAACAACAGGTCGATATTAAGTCTTTAATTTACTCTTATCTTTCTCATCCTTATAAGACCTCTCTGTTCCTGCACATGATTACCAGGTCTTTGACATAAAATCTCTACAAATATTCACCCCTTCTGAGCTGGACTACTTATTGTGTGGTCGTAGAGAGTTGTGGGAGGTGATTCTTCAACTTTTAAAAAAAATTCCATTACACAGGAGACTTGAATCAAATAGATAAATTTCATTTCTAAAACCTTCCTTTTTTACAGGCGGACACTCTTGTTGAACATATCAAGTTCGATCACGGTTATACTGCAAAAAGTCCGGCAATCATTAACGTAAGTTACTTTCCTTGGTTTGTCGAAAGCCTTTTTTTCTTTTATAAACAAGCTTTTGCTTCTTCATTGTTGATTCCTTTTTGACTTTTGATCACCCTGGCGGTAGTTATTGGAGATCATGGGAGAGCTTACAGCAGATCAACAACGGGCTTTCTGCCAATTTGTAACTGGAGCTCCTAGGCTTCCCCCTGGTGGCTTAGCTGTTCTGAACCCAAAGCTGACGATTGTGAGAAAGGTAATAAATCTTTACTTATATTTTCAGTTAAAAAGGAGTTTTTGTAATTGAGGCAAGCGGGGTCCCTAGTCATGTTACACTAAACCCACCAAGCCATATATCGTGGTCGTCTTTGCCATGAGCAGACACGCATTGTGGTGTTTGTTTGCATTTACAAGACTTCTTACTGACGTTTCAGCTCTTACATTCTTTAAGTTCTGTATTTGGTTTCCCATGTAATTTTTTTAAAATTGGTACGTCTTTGGCTACTGCAGCACTCATCAACCTCAAATGCGGCAGCCAATGGGGCAGGGGCTTCGGAAACAGCAGACGATGATCTTCCCAGCGTCATGACTTGCGCCAACTACCTTAAGTTGCCTCCTTATTCTACAAAGGTAAGTCATGTCTTTTTTTTGTTTGTTAAAGTCTATGGTTTCTGTGGTTGTTTGTTGGGGTGAGCCTGAATGAGTTTGTACCTGAAACAGGAAATCATGTACAAGAAACTGCTCTACGCCATCAACGAAGGGCAGGGATCGTTCGATCTCTCATAGGCATCTCTGTATTGAGGGCGACGGAAGCTATAAACCAACCCTCTCTGTACATTATACATCGGAAGACTCTGAATTTAAAGGCCGAAGATGTCCTGAAAGACAGGTGGTGACTGTTCTTGAATCGTCTCTTCGCCGTCCCAGAGACTTGTAATGAGAGAATGTTGTGTTATCTGAAACGTCGCATGCATTCCTGTCTGTGCAGGGTCTGCTGAAAGAATGCTATTATAGTGTAGATAAAGTAAGATGGATGATAGGCTTATTTACTTTCCCCCTTCAGATTTTACTTGGTCGGTCAAAATACTAAAACTATGGATTCTCCCTTTAGATTTCATTTGGCCTGCACTTCGAATGTTATTTCTATTAAACCCTGAATTATAAAAGTTAGCTTCAATATTTGTCCGTCTACCAGTAATAAAATTACACAACGGAAAAAAAATAAAATCAAAACACAACTTGAAGAATTTGGCAACATAGCAGTTGGATAGTGAGTAAAATTGTCAGCTAACTTTTCCTTCAAAAGACGAGAAAGTTGGCAAGATTAAGTTTTGTACGATCTATTCTGTTTCCTCATAACGGCACTGGACTCTATCAGACAGTCACAGCAGCTGACTATAAGATGACAAAAATTATTGTACGTGGGTTACTGGAGCCTGAACAAGAACTTGCCTTCGTTTCAGTAGTTATCTTTTTAATTTAAAAAATCAATTTCTACAGATATTTCTCTCAGTATCCGTCTTTGGAATGGATATAAACGGAAAATATTACAATCATAAGAGTGCGTTACGAGTACAGAGACCAAGGCACTACAACCAAAACAAGAAACTTACCATATGGTCGTAATTTAATATACACAAAAAAACACACCAATATATTACAAAATAATCCACAACTGAAACGGTCCATATTAGCTAGTATGACGACAGCCGACAGATCACATGACCACACAAGCAGCTGGATTCTCATCGCTAAAAGCAGTAGTGTAGCGGACCTCGGTGGAGCTAGCACGAGCCAACTGCGAGACTCCAGGGTCATCAGCTCTTCGCACATAACCCGAGGGTGCCTTCTTGTCGTAGACTCCGGAGGCGTAAGGATGAGCAACGACGTCATAGGGCACATAGGGCCAAATCTCGACCTTCTTACCAGTCCTATGAGCCATACGGGCCACCACCTTGTTGGGATCGACGTAGCCGACCACAGTGACTTTGTGGGCTTTGGGCTCCAGTGAGACAGATGACACACCCTTCATTCCTTCCACCGAACGCCGCACTTTGCGCTCGCAGCCTTCGCAGTCCATCTTCACTTTGATCTCAACCGTCTATTTTCCACACCAATTAAATGATGTGAACAAAACGACAAACAAAAATGTTATTAAATACAATATCTAAGCAAAATAGTACTACTAGTAAATGTTTCTGAGATAATCATCATGACTGACTGGTGGGAGTTAGTACACGTGATGTCCCCTTAATTATGATGGTTTTTTTATTACAAGAAAAAGAAACAGAAATAATTACAGATTCCGACAGCGAACATAATGGTAATAAAGTACAGTACAACTAATCCCGGTGTAAATCTAACAGATGGCTGCAACTTTGTTTTCCAGACTACAACGAATCTATTTGGTCGGCGTTAGGAAACTAACTTTAAACACACATTAACCGCTCCAAACAGAATCTAATGAATTTTGTTTGATCCAACTTGTACTTGTGCATACTAGATTTAGAAAATGAAAGAAAATCATAAAAACACACAATACTATCTGTGTGTTTCTGTCTAAAGTAAATTGGCTGGAGAATAAAACTTGAACGCATAATTATGGTTAGTAGTTAATGTTATTTATATGGAACTAATCAACTAGATCTACAAAAGTAATAGTCACATCTCACTCAAACTTTTCTTCTCGCTAACTAAGTTTTTTTTTTTTCATTCTCATCTAACTTAGTTTCTATACTAGACTCGTCACTTCCCAATGAATCTTCTTTTTTGTCTTTCAAAATTATCTAAAATTCGAACTGAAAGAAGAAGAAAAGAAAGGAGGTGAAGTTACCTGCAACTGTCTGCGCTTTTTAATCTTGTGTCCATGAGAGCAATCAAACATTTCAGATACATGATCCAGAACACCCATACTTTTATCTTTAACAAACTGAAAAAAAACCTGAGAGGTATCGAAGGAGACTGGAGGAACTATAAAAGAAGGAAATCTCTAGGAGAAGGAGAGTGGAAATGAGTTGCACACAGCACAGTGATATCTTAGAGGCAAAGGGAAAGGTGAGAGGAAGTAAACAAAGTAAATGATAGAAATGAACATTAAATAGGAGAGAAATACATTAAAATACAGTAGTTAAAGTTTAAGATAATTAAATGGATGATGGGTCACCCTTTCTCACCTGGTCCCATCACCAAATTCATGGTCGACGGCTCTAATCTTCTCTTCATTAATTCCCTTCCTCTTCTGTAGTTCAAAAAATATATATTTTTAATTTACATGATTTCAATTTTTACATTTTGCTTGTTCAGGTTGGTTAGAATTTAATTAATGTAATAATAATAAGAAAAATAAAAGAAAGCTGTACAACTGTTTCAAGAATAATATAAAACTCTGTAATTTGTGAATGAAATTTACTGACTTTTTGTTGTAAGTTGTAACTCTCACAGATATTTTCATTTGGGTTGGATTAATGAATGAAATTTACAGAAGAAAAAGAATATGAAACTTTGTAATTATAAAAAAAAACTACTAATGTCAAGTCCTATATGATTGATCTTGGGAGAGACAAGACCGGTGCGTTAGATTCAATGCTCTTCTTTTCACCTTTTAAAAAAGGATAAGTAATAGTTTAATTAATCTGATGTAATGGTGGGAAACAGAAGAGCTATTTGCTTTGGGATAATGGGATGACTCGCAAGTCTCACCGACGTGCCGACTCTTTTGTTTGTTTGTCTCACTCGAATATTGGGCCTATATTGGATCCTTATGAGGCCTAACTTTTTACCATTTGTTTATTGGTCTCTTTGGACCCCATGACCTTGAGATTCAGTTATCCAAAAAATGCCTTCACTTGCATCACCAACACGTTCAATTTGGATTTACGGAATCTTATTAGACATGGAAAGTTGTACTTCCCCATAATCTGTCAATCTTGTGTGTGTAACTGTAAACAAACCATATGAAAGAAAAAACAAACAATCAAAGTTCAGTTTCACAGTGTGGAAGTGGCGAAACTGAGAGAGAATCTTAATTTTGGGTGAAGAGTGTAAATCTGGAAAACAAAAAAGGGTCAAGTTTATAAATAAAAATACAGTTCACAATTCTCCAAGTGAGATTATAATAATATTAAACGAAAATCGTATGCTTGCTTCGGAGAAGAGGCAAAGAATCTGATTCGAGTTTTGAACAACTCTGCTGCTCAAGAGCTATCTCTTCGCTCTCATCATCCCTCACTTCTCTGTCTTTACTCAATCCTTGGTGGGTGAGAGCATGTCTTCCCCTCATTTCTCGTTTAAAATCCATTCGGCCTATACTGTTTGTGTGTGTTTACGTATTTACACATTTCCCTTGTTGGGTTCTCATAAAGTTTGTTCCTTTTTCCTTAGCGTAGGTGCATTGTTCATTGCTGAGGTTTTTGTTATCTGGGGGAATAGTAGATTGCATAATATATAAAAGTCTCTCTCTCTGTTATTATGGATACCAAAGCTAATAAGCAGAGACCAGCCAAGCTCTCTGTTTACCTTTACATTCCCAATATTGTTGGTGCGTCCCGTTAGTTTTTTTTTTTTTTTGAATTATGTTTGAGAAGATGCCATCATTTTTTTGAGATGAAATATAATTGGGCAGGGTACATGAGAGTTGTCTTGAATTGCATTGCCTTTGCTGTGTGCTTCTCCAACAAGACTCTCTTCTCCCTCTTGTACTTTTTCAGGTGAATATAACCCTCCTTGTGCATGCTCTTCTTCTCTCATCTTTTGTGTGTTGTTCTGACACTTTTTTATTCTTTGATCCATGTGGTTTTCCAGTTTTTGTTGTGATGCTGTTGATGGATGGTGCGCTCGTAAATTCAACCAAGGTCTCATTTTCCAGCTCCCACCATATTTATATTTGTTTATGTTTTTGCTCATAGGATCCTGACATTGATCAAGAGTCTGGCTCGATGTTACTAGTTTTCGAGTTTCATGTAGTAGGATATTTTAATTGAACAGCATTTTGTGAGCTTCATTTTGTTGTTATATAGTGTCAGGATCTTGATATCTTGTTTTCTTCCCCTTTCAGTTTCTACATTTGGAGCTGTTCTTGATATGGTCACAGACAGGTTAATCTTCTGTTACATATTACCCGATATTCAACTTTCTTTCTCGTGTAATAAAAATCCATTATCCTCGTTTTGTGGTCTGCGCGTGGTTACAGAGTCAGCACAGCGTGTCTACTTGTGATTCTCTCCCAAATCTACAGGTGAGAGTGTGTTCTGTTGATGTATCTTATATTTAATCTACGTTTAACATACATAGCCTTGGACTTACACTACTACTATAACACAGGCCTAGCTTGGTTTTCCTCTCACTGTTGGCCTTAGATATTGCTAGTCACTGGCTCCAAATGTACAGGTACTCTTTGTTGCAACTTATACTCGACATTCGACTTGTACATTTCTATATAGTTTTTGCACATAGTAAAACCAGAAAATTTAATACTCGAGTCACAGTACATTTCTATCAGGAAAGACCAGCCATAAGGATGTGAAAGATAGCACGAGCTGGCTGTTTAGACTATACTATGGAAACCGGATGTTCATGGGCTATTGCTGTGTCTCCTGCGAGGTTAGTTTGCACTTGATTTATATAACAAATTTTCGTTTTAGTTTTCTTGTAACACTGAGTTTGCTCAAATGACTACAGGTTCTTTACATAATACTCTTTCTTATAGCAAAGAACCATACTGAAAATCTGATGAACGTGAGCTTCTCTTCCTCTTTAATCTCTATTACCTAGTAGTCTTTTGTTCTAAAATTTTTATGGGTTCCTTTATCCAGGTGGTAGTTGAATCATTGACTCAGTTTTCACCGCTATCTTTACTCTTGGCTTTGAGTATATTTGGTTGGTCGATCAAGCAGATCATCAATGTGATTCAGGTAAAATAAAGCTCATCTAAATAATCCTATTCCCTCCAACTCCAAGATAGTAGTAAGCAGTTTCTGATTCTTAGCGTATATTCTGTTGTTGTTTCTGTGTTGGCGTTTTAGATGAAAACAGCTGCAGATGTTTGTGTCCTGTATGACATAGAGAAGCAGCATAGGCCCTGAGGTCTCTGCTCTTTGAATCGTGTTTGTTTTCTTTAAAAGACCTGTTTTATTGCATGTTGTGTTTGCACTGTGTACATATGGATGCATCTAGTGGATGTAGATATACCCTTGTCTTGCCTTTGTTTTCTATGAGATGAAAAGATATTTCATTGCAATCTCGGAGCTGGATCTTTTAACTATTATCGCAGAAGCACTTAATTTACTCATGTTTTTGAATAAATACAAATATCAATGTTTTTGTTCAAAAGAGCTTCTCCAACACAGATTCTCCATCAAACTTGTCTACTTTGGAGCTCAGAAACGCCAAGCTTTTCTCCAACCGTGCTCTCTTCATCTCCAAATCTCCCAAACGCCCTGCCGTCTCCGTTAACCCTTGACGGAAACTTTTCACCTCGTTCTCCTTCCATCTCACCTCTTTCAGTAACTTCTCCATCTCTTCTCTCCCAAGTAAAGCATCTCTCTCACACATCCCTTTCTCCTCCACCGTCGTCTTATGTCGCTCATAGCATCTGGCCGCTTCAAGAATCTCGTTTAAAGCCTCCCTTATCCAACCGGCTTTGATTTTGACTGACTCCAAGTCTTGAACAACCGCTAGCATTTCCAAGACGTGCGTCTCCTTTAGTTGCTTCAGAGGCGTAGACTGGAGTTGGAGAACCACTGAGGCTAGCGTTTCCAGGAAGTAAGATCTCGTGGGAAGCGACTCAAGCTTTGAACTGGACGCTATGTCTCCATGCTTGTCCAATATTTTCTGCAGAGTGTCCGAGACGCTCTTTCTCACCTTGTAGCTTCCTACAGAGACGTACGACTCTGACATCATGGACTGCGTTCTCTCCCCTGTTAAGCTCTTGCATTCGTTAGACAGCTCATTGGAGACCGAACTCGTTTTATTACCATGATTTTTGGTGGCTTGGGGAGATATTTGAGCAGCAGAATGATAGATATCACCAATGATTGGTTGAGTTTGGGGGATCCTTAACCCTGGTCTTGAGTTTCTTGCCTTGTGATCTGGTAGCCTCGCTCTGTATTCTTCAGCCTTTGGCCTGATTTCTGGTGTGTCTGGCGTCTCAGGTGACATGAGGAAGCCAGTACTGTACTGAGTTTGTGGGATCCTAGAGTCTTTTCCTTGAGGCTCTGGAGTCTTAGACCGATGCCTTGTTTCCCTATATTCTGGTGACCTAGCTCTACGTTCTGCAGTCCGTGGCCTAGGTCGTAGAGACACATGCGCATGTTCAGGTGTCCTTGGTCCATAATTAGTGATACTGGACCGGTGTTCAGGCGTTCTAGGTCTAGTCTCTAGTGCAATGCTATTATCAGTGGTCTTAGGCCTAGAATCAGGGGTGCGAGGCATGTGTTGATGTGTCCTAAGAGGATGTTCAGGTGTCTTAGGCCTAGTCCTAGGTGTAATTTCAATGTCTAGACCATTATGAATCAGCGCACGGTGATCAAACTGCAGAGAGGAAACATGAGACTCTCACCAAAAAGATATACACTAAACAAAGAGGAGTGATAGCACAGAGACAGAGAATAAATGCTCACATTTGATGCAAAAGAATCTTTCTTGCAGTACACAGCGAGAGAAGGCGACATTGGGAGCCAATTTATAACTGATTCAGACTTGTTTCCATGTAGAGGAGAAGGCGGTCTGGACAGGTTTACGTTGAAGGTATCATCAGAGGATGAGCATGAAGGAGACTCTGATGCGACCATCTTCTTAGCGTAATAACTCAGAAGTGGCCATCTATTTTCCGCAACAACACGAACCGGACTGATAGGATGACTTTCCTTTCTCCAAGCTGGCTTACCAAAGCCTTGCACAAAAGACAAGTTCTAGTGATTCTTTTAAGCAAAATATCAGCAATCAAGATGATAACCTTCTTACCAAATGACTTCTTCTCCTTCTTGGGGACACCTCTAGAGTTGATCCGCTCGAAACATCGATCACTGCACTCATGGTAGGGGTTGCCTGCGTTGGGACAATTATGATATAATTTTCCAGACATTTCACTTCTCTCTCACACAGATCTAATAAAGAGGAGAAATTCTTATAAAATTGAAGCTTTCATCCAAAACAGGAAATAAGCAAACAAGTTTTAACTCCAAGAGACAGAGTCTAACATTTTGAGAAAGAGGTGTGATTCTGATAAAAAAATAAATAGCTCTGAGAAGACAAGACACATTAATGAACTTGGAAGGATTCACCAATTGAAGAAATTTCAAACTTAAGTGGACCTTACCGGATGATGTTTTTGTTTTCTTGCAGTGCAAGAGTCCAAAAGACTAGTGCTTATTTTCTTCCCCACACAGACTATAACTGTTTACAAGGTTGACCCGAGCTCCGGCTCAACATTTATTTGGATCTCTGGACAAATTTTTTTAAAAACTTTTAATATTTATATTTATTAAAACTTGAATATATTTTAAAATTTTTATCATCAACATCTTTATAAAATTTGTTATGAAAATAAATTATATATAAAAAATATTTTAGGGCTCCTATTGAGCTAAAATTTGTAAATATTTAAAATTTTCTATATACAAAAATATTGGACCTCTTGATTAGTAAGATCGGGAAAACACGAGTTTGGAACCCGGGACGGTCACACCGTAAGTCGGCCCTGGTTGACCCCAACATAACTATTTGATCAGTCGTCACGTCGAAGATGTGAGCCAACACAAACTCGTAAACGCATTCTAACAATACTGCAATATTCTGAGTTTGACTCTCAACAGATCACATAGAAGTCAATACTCGTAAAGGTCAAAAACAAAAACACCTCAGTAACGAAATCAAATAGAAATCAAAACAAAACATTCAATTAAGATCCATTTAGTGGGCCAGTATTATACACTGATAATAACTTCACGGGCCTTGGGCCCAAAACATTTATCTTGTATATTATAATATGTAAAGTGTATCAAACATGGAGAAGAACGGCTTCTCCTTGAAACTTCTCAACCTTTGTCTGAAACAACTCCAGATTCTTCTTCAACCTCGAACCTCTCATCTCTAACTGCCCAACCTTTCCCGCCACAACCGTCACCTTCTCTCTACACTCCCTAACTTCCTTCTCTCTCTTCCCTAATTCCACCCTCATCTCCTCCATCTCCCCTTTCCTCTCCCTCACCTCCCTCTCACAAACCTCCCTCTCCACCTTCGCCGCCTCGTACTCCCCAACATACTCCACCGCCTCCGCCACCTCCTCCACCGCTCTCTTCATCCACTTCACCTCGATCTTCACCGACTCCATGTCCTTCACCACCGCCGCCATCTCCGCCACTCTCGCCTTCGTCAGATCCTTCAGCCTCGACGTCCTCAGCTCCGTCACGACCCCGGCTAGCGATTCGAGGTAGTACGATCTCGTCACGTTGGATTGGAGCTTCGAGGAGGCGGCGATGTCTCCGTGCTTGTCGATGATCGCTTGGAGCGTTTCCGCGACGCTGAGTTTGACTCTGTAGTTCGCGACCGTTACGTAAGACTCGGAGATCATTGATTGGCTGATGCTCTCTTCTTTGAGTCCTCGCATTGTGGCGATCTCTTGTAGAGAGAAGCTTTGAGATTCGTCCGCTAGCTCTGGTGGCTCGTAGGTTTCCGCCGTAACGATCTGGTAGCTGTGGTGAACAGGCTGCAGATATTTTTTTAATTAGAGATAATCTGAAAAAATTGCATATATGAATAGGCTGCATATATGAATTGAATTAAAGTCCATTTTATTTTATTTTTAAATAGAGATTATCTGAAATAAATTGCATATAAAAATGTGAAAGAGAGAGAGAGAGATTCGTACTGTGCTGGTGCTGGAGACTGGCATGGAACGATTTGGAGTGCTGATTTCTGGGAAGAGGTAGGTGGAGTGATTATCGTCATCGCTTGATGAATAGTATGCTGCTCCATGAACTGGACTCCGTGGAGGGCTTTCCCGCGGCGTTACGTAGCTATCTGGCTCATACGTTGCTTCTAATTGCTCATTGCTGTGACGGTCAGGCTGCGCATTTTTTTAAGAGATCAGATTTTGTATTGTTAAGAGACTTTTGGTTTGTTTTTATCATTGGAAGATGTTGAGAGTGTTTTTTTTAGTACCGTTCTGTATGGTTGTGGTGGTGGTGGGGAACGGGTTGCAGATGGATGAAATGGGCTTGGTGGAGAGCTGTTTCGTGTTGGTGTTGCTTCGCCGTCTTGTTCATCATCAGGGTTGTTTCTACGACGATCAGGCTGCAGAATTAGAATACCAAACTTCATTGTTAGTTTAAGTTACTCGCTTTATTTTGTCTTTGGGAAATAAGGCTGAGTTTTAGAGTACCGTTCTGTATGATTGTGGTGGTGGTGATCGATTTGCTGATGGATGAAAGGGGCTTGGTGGAGAGGTGTTTCGAGGTGTTACATCACCATCTCGCTCGTACTGGTCTTCAAATTGCTCGTTACTACGACGATCAGGCTGCAATTAGAAAGAGACTTTTATGTAATGACATCTATGTCGGGCTAATTGTGTACTTAGGGATGAGGAACAAGACTTACAGTTCTATATGGTGATGGAGAGCGGGTTCCGGCTTGATGAAATGGGCTCCCAGGAGCTCTGTTCTGGAACATGGTATTGGCCTCAGGCTCATACATTGCCTCGTAGTGTTCTACATCTTGGTCTCTGCGGCGATCAGGCTGAAATCAAGCGTTAGAATCAGTGTTTAGTGATTGGTTGATAATGAACATGAATCAAAAGAATCAATAGTGATTTAGGTTTTGAGTACCGTGTGGTATGGAGATGGAGAAGGGCTTCTGAATGGGTGAAATGGGCTTGCATTGCTTCGAGTATCTGCCTCATACATGTTGTGTTCTCGGCTATACTCGCTTGGCTTTCTAACACGTTCAGGCTGCAATAAAAGACAATATCAGTTAAGTAATAATAAGACCATGTCCTCGAACCATCAAAGACTGACTTTGTTATTTTGCAACATCTCTAAGCAACTCCAATTCATATTACCGTGCGGTTACCAGAAGGATGAAAGGGGCTTGAAGGAGCGTTGGTCTCTGGCTCATAACTCATCCCCTCCATTCTTCCTCTACGACGTTCAGGCTGCAGTAAGAAAAGAAGGGCAAACTCAGTAACATGTACAGATACGATGCTTTGTCCTAAAGGATCAATTGGTTTGGCAGTCAAAGAAACAGACAATAGATGTTTATGTAATAGAGTACCGTGCCATATCCATACACAGGAGGCCTAGGGTGGGAGTTGGGGACGCGTTCAGACGCCGGTTGTTTCGGGTATGTTCTTTGTTCACGGGAGGTAGGAAAATCGTACTCTGTCTCGGCTCTTTTGTTGGAGAGATACGAAGGTGGTGGAGATCTACCATCAGCGAGACGAGGAGGAGTCGCCGGATTGCTCTTGCTTGAACTTTTCTTCCCGAACAGTCCTGAAGAGACGTTACCAAACCACAGAAAATTGGTCAACGTTTGGATTTGGCTTAGTAAACGGAAGTTATCTACATAGATACTTCTGGAAAGATGAGTTGAGAAAATGATCATTGTCTTTAACCATCACCAGCATACCAGATTTAAACAAACATTCTAGCGACTCGGTGTTATTCATATCTTGCAGAGTGTAACTGTGAAAGGGATTTTCCAGAGTTGGAAAAGTTACCTGATCGTTTTGCCTCTTTCTTTGCTTTGCTTGAACCGAAGAAGTCCATATTGCACAAGATGGTGCTAAACTGGATCGGTAAATAATAATTTGCCTGTAAACCGGAATATTAGATACCGTTTAACTGGTTAAATATATATATATATATATATACACGCTAGAGTTCATCACCTGGAATTTTTGAAGCAGGGAGCTCGATTGTGAGCTGTTGTTGTCTGAGAGAGAAGGCTTTCGTGTTAGTTTGGTCTCTGCTACGTGATTACTCCATATGATTTTATATAATGCCATATGAAAGTCTACCATAATGATTCAGCTGACTTTGACTACTACAAACAGACAATATCGTTTACCATTATTTAATTGCTTCCATCTAATCTTCTACTATTTGTTTTTTTTAAGTAGCCGCAGCCATCACTTACTTGGTCAATGATACTAGCTCTGAAAAAAAAATCTACTTTGAATGTCTGACTACGTTATATTATATTTTTTTCTGATTAGTGGACCTAAAGATGGGCCCATAAGCAATGCCCAATATCACCACAGAGTCACGAAATGGTCTAAAATAAAAGGGAGTACGATTAAATCCTCCGGAGACTGGTAAGAGAAGGTTCGGTTACAATTACAACCAAACCAGAAGGATCAAGATAAATCAACCAACGAAATGAAGCAAAGCAGCAGACAAACTGAATGACTGCTATGAACAAAAAATATGGCAAAACTAGTGTAGATACAAGTGTCATACGAGATAAGTGCCTCAGCACATGTTCGTTGCTTGTGTGCCTATGGTGGTTTCGTTTTCAACGGTGCTCCTCCTGCTCAGCTACAGGGGCTTGTGAGAAAACACCGTCTCAGTGTATACTGCAGCGTTGGCGAGGACGTGAAGGCACTGGTTAACTATATACTCTGAAACAATGTAAAGATTTAGGGAAAAGGTGTATGTATTCATTCACATCGCTCAGTATATATACAAGAGGATAGATCCTATATGTGCAAGGAATAGGAAGATAATTACAAGAATAAGTAGAACTTATCTAAGATAATTACATAACATTATCTCTATACCCCCCCTCAAGTTGGAGATGAGATATCTTGAATCCCCAGCTTGAACACCAGAAACTGAAATGTAGAGGGAAGTAACGCCTTGGTTAAAAGATCAGCTGGTTGTTCAGTAGTCTTGACGTGTTCAGTAGTAATAAGCTTGTCTTGGACAGCATCGCGAACTTGATGACAGTCACTCTCAATATGCTTCGTACGCTCATGGAAGACCGGGTTTGCAGCAATGTAGATGGCAGATTTACTGTCACAAAAGAGCTTCATTGGTTGACGATGGGAGACACCAAACGCACGAAGCAGTTGTTTAATCCACTTGAGTTCTCGTAACGCATAGGCCATTGACCGATACTCGGCTTCTGCAGAGGAGACTGATACTGTATTTTGCTTCTTGGTTTTCCATGAAATGGGAGAGTTCCCAAGAAGGACAACATATGCAGAGAGGGAGCGACGGGTCAAAGGACACGCTTGCCAATCAGAGTCACAGTAGGCATTAATCTGAAGAGTAGAATCAGAACGAAGGAGAATCCCTTGGGAAAGTGTACCTTTAAGATACCGTACGACGCGAAGAGCAGCCTCCATATGAGCTTGACGCGGAGCCTTCATAAATTGAGTAAGAATATGCACAGCGTAGCTCAACTCCGGGCGAGTAAAGAGGAGATAGATGAGGCGGCCAACAATTCTGCGATAAGATTCCGGCTTAGGAAGAAGAGGGCTCTCAACGAGAGCTAGCTTATGATTTGGTTCGATAGGAACCGACGAGGGTTTAGAGCCTAGGAGACCAGTTTCTTCAATTATGTCAAGTGCATACTTGCGTTGTGACAAGAATATACCATCCCTGCTACGCGCTACTTCAACGCCCAAGAAGTATTTTAGTTTACCAAGATCCTTCATGTGGAAACACTCTCCTAGGTAGTGTTTGAACTTCTGTAGTGTCAACATATCATTGCAGGCGATGATGAAATCATCCACATAGATCAGAATGTGAAGATGAGTGGCACCACGAATGAAGGAGAAGTGGGAATAGTCAGCACGACTCTGAGAGAACCCATAAGACTTCAATGCTTCGCTAAGTTTAGAGAACCAGCACCGGGGAGCTTGCTTAAGACCATAGATGGATTTTCGTAGACGAGCTACTTTATTAGGATCAGAATCTGAGAAGCCCGGTGGGAGTTTCATATAAACTTCTTCTTCCAAGTCACCGTGAAGAAACGCATTGTGTACATCCATTTGATGTACTTCCCAGTTTTTGATCGCAGCAATTCAAGTAGTAAGCGAACAGAGGCTGGCTTGGTGACATGTGCAAAGGTATCCTTATAATCAATGCCTTCTTTTTGGCGATTACCACAAGCGACAAGTCGGGATTTGTGGCGAGCAAGTGTGCCATCAGCGTGGTACTTGTTCTTGTATAGCCATTGACAAGAGATTACTTTCTTCCCAGGTGGAAGTTTCATGACCTCCCATGTGCCGTTAACGACGTGAGCATGATGCTCATCAGCCATAGACTCTCTCCAGACCTTGTGACGTACAGCTTCATGATAAGATTTGGGTTCTGCCGCAATTGTGATAGCTGCCATGAAAGCTCTATGGTTTGGAGAGAAATTAGCATCAGATAAGTAATTGCTTATAGGGTATGGCGTGTTACCTGAGGCCGTCGCAGAGGTACCCGGATCGAAGTCGGAGACGAGAGAAGAAGAGTGTGTATTATTAAGGGCAGAGTGCGTAATGTAGTTCTTAAGTAGGATAGAAGCTTTCTTTTGGCGGTGACCTCGACCAAGGAGTTCAGGAAGGCCAGGTGACGGAGGCGCTGATGTTGGTGGTGACGTAGAGATAGGAACTGTAGGAGATAGGGGTTCTGCTGTATCGGTGGTGATGACTGCAGCAGGCAGGGTCTCAGCAGAGGACGGTGAAGCGGAAGGAGGCAGAGACGGCTCTGTGACAGGGTGAGCCGGGTCTGCGCTAGGGGATGTAGGCGTAGATGAGTCAACCGTAGGGGAAGTGTGTTGAATAGGCAAGGAGGGTTCCGAAGTAGGTGACTCAAGGGAAGTTGCCTCGGGAAGAAACCAATCATCCGTCGAAAACTCAAGTTGAGAAATATGATTAGAATCTGAAACAGTGATGCCAGGAAATTCTTCTTCAAGGAAAACGACATCGCGACTGATGAAAAACTCATTTGTCTCGATGTCATAAAGGTTCCATGCTTTCTTGCCATGAGGATATCCAACAAATAGACAGCGACGACTACGATCACCAAACTTGTCTTTGTCTCGATGTCGACGATGAGCGTAGCAGAGGCATCCGAAGACACGAAGTGAATCATACTTTGGAGGCGAACCATGAAGCATCTCATAGGGTGATTTACCATGTAAGACACGAGATGGAGTGCGATTTATCAGGTGCGCAGCAGTGAGAACACTTTCGCCCCAGAAAGAAGTAGGAAGTCGAGCTTGAAATAAGCAAGCCCTTGCAACATTTAGTATATGACGATGTTTGCGCTCGACACGTCCGTTTTGTTGAGGAGTGTCGACACATGATGTTTGGTGTATAATTCCTTGTTCGCGAAAGTAGTGTTTAAGTGCCAGAAACTCTGTCCCATTGTCCGTTCGGAAGGTTTGCACATTGTGGCCAAATTGCCGAGAGCTCATAGCACAAAAGTTTTTGATTAGTTGAGAAACCTCTGATTTTTCCAGCATTAGATGTATCCATACTGCACGAGAGTAGTCGTCTACTATGGTTAGAAAATAAACAGCTCCACAAGATGATGGAGTTCGATAGGGTCCCCAAACGTCGCAATGAACCAAAGAAAAAGGTGTAGAAGCTTTATTAGAACTGTCGTGAAAAATCTCACGTGTTTGCTTTGCACGAAAACATGTATCACACGAATGTGTATGTTTAAAATCCAACTGAAAACTATCTAGAGCTAAAGAAGATAACACTTTGTCAGACGGGTGTCCTAGTCTCCGATGCCACAATTCTGAAGAAGAAGACGTCGATTTTTGTCCAGTCTTGTTGGCTCTTGCAACTGTCACACCCGTGAAATAATACACACCCTCTCTCTCCTCACCTGCTCCAATCAGGGTCCTCGTAAAACGGTCTTGCAAGAAACAGAGAGTATCAGTGAAAACTGCAATGCAACCTGTCTGTTTAAGAAGTTTCGACACTGATATCAGGGTGCAAGTAAAATCTGGAACAAAAAGAACGTCGGTCAAGAAGTAAGTAGAGCTAATATGTAATGTTCCAGATTTTGTAGCCCGAGATGCCCTCCCATTAGGAAACGTTACTGCGGACGAAGGTATATCACGGACATCTCGTAAAATAGAGATATCACCAGTCATGTGGTGAGAAGCCCCTGTATCAATGATAACATCATTAAGATTAGTTTTACCGGTCATACGGTATGTAGAAAGTTGAGACTGTTGGTTCTGCAGAAGGTTGATGAGAGTGGTGATCTGATCGGATGGTAGCATTGTTGTATTATTGGTGGTTGATGTGGCACGCGACGCATTGGAACGACCACGTCCACGACTTCCAGAGTTGGTGTTGCGACCACCACGACCGCGTTGAGAGAGTGTAGAGGATTGACCGGATCGTTGTTGTTGCTCATTGAACCAGTCGGGGTAGCCATGAAGGAGAAAACATTCAGATGCTTCATGTCCCTTGCGATTGCAGTGAGTGCAAAACCGGTTGGGATCACGACTTCGGAATGTATGAGTAGTAGCAGGAGTATTAGAAGGCGTAGTAAGCTGTGGGGACTCTGTTCTAGCTGAGAAGCCGATAGCATCTTGTTTTATCTCTGTTGAACGCATAGTAAGAAGATGCTGTTCGGCTCTTATGACTCTAGAGTAGACAATATTGAGGTCCGGAAGTGGCTCCTCGTCGATGATCTGAGATCGAATAGATGAGAACCGCGACTCATCGAGACCAAATAAGAATTTGTGTACTTTTGCATCTTCGCGTTCTTTTTCGATAACTGGAGATGCATCACACGTACAAGGTTGAACCGGAAGAAAACTTTGCAACTCTTCCCAGAGTTTAGATAACCGGCCGTAGTAGTCTAAGACTGATTTTCCATTCTGTTTGCAGTTAGTGATCTCGTCCTGTATGAGATGCTTTCGGACGCCGTTTTTGATCGAGAATCTGCGTTTAAGTGATTCCCATAGTTGATATGCGTCTGCGGCATGACTTACAGTTGATCGAACTTGTGGATCGATGGAGGTTCTCATCCATCCAATGATCATTGAATTTGCAGCAGTCCAACGAGAGAGGTCAGGGTTTGTCGAAGGTCTTGCAATTGTACCATCAATAAAGCCAATCTTTTGTTTTGCTTGTAGAGAGTTCCAGAATTCTGTTGCCCATTCTGAATAGTTATCACCCTTGAGGATAACCGGCGTGATCAAGGAACCTGGATTGAAAGATGGATGTAGAAAGTATGGTGTATCCGAGATTGTAGAGGTAGGAGATTCCGTAGAAGGAATAGTTGTAGAAGTAGAGGTACTTGCAGGTGTGGAAGTAATTGCAGGAGTAGAAGAGGAAGTCATAGGACTAGTAGTATCCATGATCGATTATCACAGATGCAAAGAAGAGAAGAAAAAGAAAGAAAATTGGTGCGGAAGTGTTTTAGGTATAGGATCGTTATTGCTCTGATACCATGAAACAATGTAAAGATTTAGGGAAAAGGTGTATGTATTCATTCACATCGCTCAGTATATATACAAGAGGATAGATCCTATATGTGCAAGGAATAGGAAGATAATTACAAGAATAAGTAGAACTTATCTAAGATAATTACATAACATTATCTCTATATACTCTCTTAGTGAAAAATATGGAGGGTAATTTTACCCCCCCCCCCCAAATTAACAAAAATGAGATGATTGGATAGTGAAGTTTGGTCCTGAAATGGTTGGATTTTTGTCTGATTGATGGGAGCTAACTTCTGTAAGTAGGGCCTTCCTTCCTCTCTATTATTCTATTTTCCTATTAACTAACTTTCTCTTAATTATTCATTATTGTTATAGTAGTTTTTCTCTCTTTGTAAATAATTTGTGTATGCCAAGTTTACATACAGAGCATCGGCCAGTGATTCATAATCTCCTCATGGAAGTTAGGGTTTTGATAAGACATAAGAGTGAAAGGACAAACTACAAATATACTCGTTGTCTCATCCCGTTTGTTGGCTAGGAATAGCTTTGTTATCCAATCCAGTTAGATGCAATGCAGCTCCATATCATGTAGCTCTTAGTTCACATTAACATATGAATTTTTTTTGGAACCATATCAAATTGTCACATAAGGAAGTTAGACTATCTAGTTTGCAGTTTATATAGTTATCATGGATTTATATTTGTTTTACAAACAAATTCTTAGTTAGATTCAAATTGTTCTATTTGCTTTATTTAGCAGAAATTTAGTATTTGCTTTTTCTCTTATTATTGGTGACTACAAAAGTACAAATTACTTAAAAGAGTTGATGTGGTGGGGTGGGAAAGGGCCAACTTGAGTGGTAACATACATTAGTATAAAATTAATACATGTTAGGTAAAGTGTGGTTTTCGCAGGATGGTCGCACTTATCACTTGGTTAGCAGTGCAGAACAGACTCTCTACAGAGGATAGGATGAAGACATGGGGTGTCGTTCATGGATGTGATCTGTGTGGGGGGAGAGGGATGAGACAAGAAATCATCTTTTTTTGCATGTTCTATTCTTTCACAGTTTGGGAGGGGCTGATGAGAGGGTTCTTTGGCCAGAGAGACGATCACTCTGAATATGATCAATTGCAATAGACTTACTAGAGCAGATTTAATCCTGATCAAGATGATTCACCAAATGACAATTTACCATGTCTGAAAAAAAAGCGAAATGTGCCAAGGCATCAAGGAAGATGGACATCCGCAGCTCAGCTACATAAAACTATTGATAAGACAGTAAGGAATATAATTGTGTGGCTGAAGTATGGTCTCCAGCATCGAAATGCAGGCTTACTTCAAAGATGGTTTTAGGTTACAAGCTAAGTGGTGGAAAGATGCAGTTTCGAATATGGTTCACTTAATGCTTTGGCTATTTTTTTTTTAGTTAAGTCACCTATACTATTATATAAGAGTAAATTTTCTTAGTTGTCAAATTCTTCTTAATTTTAGGTCAATTTGTTTATTTAACTTATTTAAATAATTTGATATACAATTTATTATTGAATAAAAACTATCTATACTATTATATAAAAAGTAAAATTTTTTAGTTGTCAAATTCTCCTTAATTTTAAGTAAATTTGTTTATTAAACTTATTTAAATAATTTGATATACAATTTATTATTTAATAAAAACGAATTTATATTAATAATATTATATTTTAGAAAATATAAATTTCTTATTATGTATTAAATTGTTATCTTAAAAATATATTTTTCTGTTATAAAATTCAAGTGAATTTATTGATTAATTTATAACTTCTCCATGATTTTGTAATTTTGCTTATTTTTTTATATTTTTAATAATTTATCATTTAATAACACGAATTTCTATTAATAATATTATACTTTTAGAAAATAAGATAATGCTTATATATTATATTATTATCTTTAAAATCTATATTTTTATCAGATAAATTAAAAATTAAGTTAAAATATTAATAGTTAAATATAAAGAAAGCAATGCTAATTTATCAACTTCTCCATGATTTTATATTTAGCTTATTTATCATATTTTAATAATTTCATATATAATTTATTAAATAATGAAACGAATGTATACTAATAATACTAAATTTAAAAAATAAGATAATTTTTATGAATTAAATTGTTATCTTGAACATATATATTTTATATTAGATATTTCTTCTTATGTATTATATTGTTATCTTGAAAATATATTTTTTTATTATAGAAATTAAAAATTAAGATAGAAAAAATTATAATTAAAATAAATTAAAGTAACAAATTTGTAAAAGTATATTTTAAAAAATATTTTGTTATGTGAATGTTGTCATTTATAATTAATTTTAAAACATAAATCATAATGTATTATATTGGTTTGAATTAATAATATACTAGGTGTTTTGCCCGCAGTTGCGGGCTTAATAATTTTACTAATATTTATAAATAAATATATAATCAAGTTATGTAAATTATAATAAATTATTATTCATAGACTCAAAATATTTAATAATAAACTAAACAATTTTTTTTTATTTATAAAATTTTTCATCATCATATAAATAATTTTTATTACACAACTTATATTTGAAAATACTCATAAACTTAAAACATTTAGTAATAAATTAATGTCATTTTTAGACATAACAAAAAAGTATAAAAAATTATCTTTAATAATGTTTTCGATAACACAATATAAATTATCTATACATAAATTCTTTGCAAATTGATTTTTCATAATTAACTATATATTAACAAATAGAATTATTTTTTCAACGTTAATAAAGACTTTATAACACAATATAAAAATTTAGATAAAGATAATTATCAAATTCATGAGATTCATTTTTTAATTTAGAATTAATTATATGTTAACAAATATAATTATTTTTCAAGGTTGATAAAGACTTTATCACATAATATAAAAAGAAACTAAAATAAGGATAATTATCAAATAAATGAAATTCGATAACCCAATATAAAATAATTTTGGATAAAGATAAATCTAAAATCATTGAAATTCGTTTTTTATTTCTGTTTAATTATATTAATTTTTTTAATTATTCATTAAGGGTATAAATGATATTAACCGTTCTAATTTTCAACGTGAGATTTTTGTTACAAAAAATCATTCACAAATAATAGTATAGATTACCTAAATCACATAAAGTTACAAATTAATCAGCAAATTCACTTAAATTTTATAATTGAAACATATATTTTTAAGATAACAATCCAATACAAAAAATTAACATATTTTCTAAAAATATAATATTATTAACATAAATTCGTTTCTGTTATATAATAAATTATTAAAACATGAAAATAAGCAAAATAACCTAAAATCATGGAGAAGTTGACAACTAAACAAATTTACTTCTCAAATAATGTTATAGATAGAGTAATAATAAATTGTACGAAAATTATGACCAAACAAAAAAGAGGAAAAAGAAAAACTATTTAAAATTACCATTCTCTCCGATGTCGGTCTCGTTCTCTCAATTACATGAAAACAGTTTAGCTGCCCTTCTCGAGACTTTTAGGTTAACGCCGCCTTATTTTTTTTATATATTTCCCGCCGCTCTCCATATCTCAGACCTCTCTCTCTCACACACACATAAACTAAAGTGCAATGATGATTACATATTCCATCCCTATTGATCTCATCACCGAGATATTGTTGAGGTTACCAGCAAAGTCCATCGCTAGGTTTCGTTCCGTATCGAAGCAATGGGCATCAACAATCGACCATCCACATTTCAAAAACTTGTTCCTAACCAAGTCCTCGTCTCATCCTCGTCTCATATTCTCCATCGAGGAAGAGGAAGAGGGTCGGTGGAGCATCTTCTCTTTACCTCAGGCTTCATCATCCTCTCTCCTCGCCCAGTTTCATATGAAGTTCCCTCCAGACAACATGTGGATCCTTCCTCGTGATCACCGACAATTCGCATGTGGCTACTCCTCCGGTTTGATCTATTTCCACGCTATGTATAACAAGCAGCCAGAAAAAAATCAAGTGTCTGTGGTATGTAACCCTAAAACAGGACGATACGAGGCCTTGCCTTGGCTCTTACGGTACAGGAAGACGTACAGCTTTTTCGGTTTCGATCCGGTTGGAAAGCAATACAAGGTATTGCATTTGACATATCCGTCCTGTTCTAACGACCACAGGATCATGACACTTGGAACTAGAGGAATGAGGTGGAGAAAGATCCGTTGTCCATTAAAACTTGCGAATGTGGGTGAAGGATTATGCATAAATGGGGTTTTATACTTCTTGTGTGACGGGAGTGAGTGCAAGGAGATGTCTTATGACGACTTTAATTACGTCATCGCTTGCTTTGATGTTCGGTCTGAGACGTTCAAGTTTATTTATCCTGAAAGCTATTGTTTCTGTGAATTGATAAACTATAACGGTAAGTTGGGTGTGGTTTACTACGATGATCTCAGTGACGATGTTGTTGAGTTCCGAGTATGGGTTCTAGAGGATGTGGATAAACAAGAATGGTCCAAGTATGCCTACGCTTTAAGGGGCGATAAGCTCTTCCCGCATTACGTTTCGGTCGTTGGTGTGATTTCTACGGGTGAAATTGTTTTGTCGATGGCGGATTATACGTCTGGACAACCGTTTTATGTTTACTACTTCAATCCTGATCAAGGGAATAATACTATTGGACGCTTTGAGATGCAAGGTTTTGGAGAGTATCACGAAGCGTCCAACAATCCTCGTAGAGTCCACGTCTTTGTAGACGATTGTAGTAGTAGATACTTGGCCTTTGCTAACAATATAGAGGATATTAATGTTAACGATCAAACGCTACTCAGGTCTAGCATCTATGTTCCATATGTGTATAACGAAGAATCAGAAGAATCAGAATCAGAAAGAAGATTCCGATGATGGGCGTATATTTCGTGGTAACAAGAAAAGAAATGAGGATGAAGATGAAGATGAAGATGAAGATTTTCTGCTTTAATCTATTATAATGCTTGTAGCCTCTCTTGGGTTTGGTACTCTTTCTAACTATTTCAATAAATCATGTTTTTATTTTTAATATTCTGACTTTCTTCACTTTCTAAGTATACGAGAGAGGTAATGAATACAAAACCAGCAATTCTTGAGGTGGTGCTAACTTTTGTAGCTTCTTGTGAGTCGCTCAACAATTTGTATATATTCTTCGGTAAGACGTTGAACAAGTTCTGTAAATGAAAACATGAAAACAAACCCTAAGATCATAATGTCGGTATAATAACATTGGTATAATAATGTCGGCAATCATGAAAGCCAACTCTAAGATCTGTCTCCCATGAGCTATTAAACTCATTTGCCATCTCCAAGAGGAACATTCTTCAACTTTCTTTGCATCACTACTCCTACAAACCAAACCAGAACTTTGGTCAGAATAATAATACACTCCCTTTGACCATACATTTTTATGACTACACTTTCAAGATTACATTCGATATGACTGTGACAATCAGAACATGGAATCGATTTTCTTGATAGAATCGATATTGCTGCTTCTCTATGCTTTCTGGATTAACAGGCTGGAAATCAAACACGATTACCAGGAAAGCCCCAACATAAGCATAGAAGCAGAAGATCAAGGTCGGTGAAAACTTATGTTGGGGCTTTCCTTGGTACGTATTTCGGTGAAAACATTCTTTTACATATATACATACACCACTAAGATTGGAAGCGATCAAAGAAAGGTATGTATATATTATGTAAAAGAATGTTTTCTGCCTTAACAAGCTAGCTTTAGAAGTTCTTACTAGTTTTGGTAGCTCAACGAAATCCAGAGCCCTAGGCTCTCTCTCCTTCAAACTCTCTCCGTTCCATTTGAGTATGGATTTGTGGCAGGCACCATATGCAACAAACCTGCTGTTATGCTAAATGCTCATTTTTTCAGGACATTAAGGTCACTCTCTACCAACCAATTAAGTCTAGCATTAGTTCTCCACTCGCAATGCTGCTCTCTGATGATATATTCTTGCTTTCGAAACCAACCTGCTGATAAAGGTATGGCCTTGTTCAGATTATCAGTCTCCATATATATAATAGTTTGATTTCACTAAACACATCGACTTTTTCTGTAATGAGAAGTAGAAATCTAATACTCGTTACAAAGAAAGAAAGGCTTTGATTCATCTTTCTACATTCAAACAATAACATTAACCTCCTTTCTCATGAGGATGAGGGACAATACGTAACAACAAAGTGAAGAGTCAACGGAAGATAGCGCAACAATGAAGATAGCTACAAGAAAGAGACTCAGTGTTGCAGTCTTGTGCTGCTTCCCCAACACATAAAAAACAAAAAGTTAATGTATGTAATAACAACAAACAAAAGAATTAATGGTGGTGCATGGCAGACACAATACCGTGGTTGTAAAACTAGGCCATTCTATGAATTTCAGCTGGCTCGGCTGCTCAGCCATAAAGGAGAACTGCAAATGTACTTGTTCTCTCGTCCCGTTTGTTGGCTTTGTTATCCATTTAGAAGCAGGTCCATCATGATTCATGGATTGGGTATTCCATTGGAACAAACCATATCATGTAGCTCTTAGTTCACATTAACATGTGTATTTATGGGACAATATCAAACTTTCACATATGTAAGTTAGACTATCTAGAACATTGTCAGTTTATATAGTTAGTTAATCGTGGACTTAATCAGATTTTAGAAACAAAATTTAAATTTCTTAGTTAGATTTAAATAATTTTGTTTACTTACTTTTAGCAGAAGTTAAAGTAGTTGGTTTTCTATTATTGGTGACTACAAAAGTACAAATAACTAAAAAGAGTCGATGTGGGTGGGGAGAGGAAGGGCCAACTTGAGTTGAGTGGCAGCATGCATCGGTATAAAATTAAATACATGTTAGGTAAAGTGACATATCTTACTTTATCCCAATCACTTTCGTGTCCCAGTTTTTATATATAAATTTTTGATACCAAGTCTATTCTTCTTCTCTATTTACTTATTTTTCTCAGGGTTCTTAAAGCAGTATTATCGCCTGACAAAAGGAGGTGCTTAGGCATTAGGGCCCACCAAAACAGCAAGCCCCGACGTAGTGCTTATATAAGCGTTCGGCCTTTGTTGGTGCTTCAATTATTTACGGGCTCCATTGACACGTCGCGACTCACGGTCGGTTACTTTTAATTTTTTTTTTCTAAAAAAAAACAAAAATTTAAGCATTTTTTTTTGAATTCCACGATAATACCGCTCTTATACCACCACTTTTATAGGCATTAGACGTTTTAAAAAGAAACAAGAATAATGAAAGAGTCATGAATACATGTAATATTATTTTATAAACTCAATAAGTATACTATATTTACACTGACATAATGTTTGATTACAATTTACAGGGGATAAGATAAAAAGGTAACTATGCCGGCGAAGAATGAGTATTGATAAGTATGTTACTAGAATATAGATTAGTAGTGGGTTTATTTATTAGAAATAACAGGCAAGAAAGATGGGCGGATACAATGTTTAAAACCAAAAATAAACATCTGTATCATCATCCATTCATGAATCATGACCAAACATAAATGGAGATAACATTAGGAATTATCTACAGGCAAGCTGGCAAGCTGTAGCGGATGATAAGTGCCGTCTGCTTGGCACAGAACAATGTATCAAGCAATGTACTAGTAGATGATTCTTGTTATGTTTGAAGAAAATTCTTCCATTTGACCCACTTGCAAAAGAAAATAGATATGTAACATTTCTTTAATGGGTTAATTTCAGGAGAGATTTTAATTCTTAATTGAACGAATAAGGAAGAGCATCAATAAGTAAATATTAAATACTCAACACTTGAGGTCATTTGCTACATGATTCTTGCCCAATGTTTTGAACTTTTGGTTGTTGTCCAGAGATATTTTTTTTCTCTCCCTCTCTCTAATGTTGTGGAGCCCAAAGACGATGTGGGGGGACCTTTGATGTGCTGGCTCCGACCTAAGCCATCGTTGGTCTTTTATGGGTCTTGTCTGCTACACTCTATAGTGAAGGGAGAGAGTGATTAAACAAGTAAATATAAACTTTGTACCGTGTTGTAGTAAGAAGAGAACGAGAAGAGAGGTGAAGTAGCACTTGTTAATTTCACAGCTTAACTGTTTCTTCTAGACATACAGCAAGAGACCATTCTTTCTCTCTAACTTTTATTAATATACTTTGCACTTGTTAATTGATCTTTTTTTCTTCCTTCCTCGTCCTTTGACTAATTGGTTTATTTTAATTTTATATAAAAACTATATAATTAGATTGATCCTCCTTTAGATCTGCTACAAGTGAGAAATTTCACGCCCACAACTCGTCCCTTCAACGACCACTAAGCTTTCATCTTGCAAGGTAAAGTTTCCATATTTCTTTATATTTGCTGGAGAATAAGAATCTACTCAGAACTATCCTTTTGTATTTTTTCTTTAATTCGAATCATTAGATTTAGAGTTGTAAATGTTTCTTCATTTTGCTTTGACTAAATCAGTTTTTATTTTTGTTGCATCCTTAGATTGTGAATCATCCAACAGTGCCATCTTCACTAATCCATTTTGAGAGAATATTGTGTGCAAGTTCTTTTGTTGTGTTGCTATATATTGGAATGAGATGAGGGGTGATGCTATCTGCCTTGATGAACTTCCTCAATGCCTGTCTCTGGCCACACTCAGATCACCATGCCTCAGATTCTGGCGGCCGTCAAGAGGGGCTCTTGTGGTACAGAGACTCTGGTCAACACGTCTTTGGTGACTTCTCCATGGCCGTTGTTCAAGCTAACAACTTGCTTGAGGACCAGAGCCAGCTCGAGTCTGGCCCTCTTAGCACTCACCACTCTGCTGGTCCTTATGGCACCTTTCTTGGCGTCTACGATGGCCACGGCGGCCCTGAGACTTCCCGCTTCATCAATGATAATATGTTCCACTATCTCAAGAGTGAGTAACTTGACTGAAAACGTTTATGATCATATCAACCTCTTGCTTTACTCTTGTTCTGGACGTTGCCAAGACTAGTTAAGTAATCTTAGAACTACTTGTATTTTAGAAATAAAATAGCACTTTCGCTAATTTCTAGATCAAGTATATACCAAAACACACATATTACAATGGCGGATAAGTTTGTACGTGGTGCTCGGAGTTCGTCCTCTATGTTGATTTAGTACCTCCGGTCTAGTTATCCGAACCGGTAGCTACTTATAGTTGTAAAAAAAAAAAGCATTTTCTCACACAAAAAGAAAACAAAAGAGTTTTAGTTTTGATCTCATTTGTTTATAAACTTGTGTGCACTACAGGATTTGCTTCTGAGGAACAGTGTATGTCACCAGAAGTGATAAAGAAAGCCTTCCAAGCAACTGAAGAAGGGTTCCTATCCATAGTTACCAACCAATTCCAAACCAAGCCTCAAATAGCCACCGTTGGCTCTTGCTGCCTTGTCTGCGTCATATGCGATGGGAAGCTATACGTGGCCAATGCTGGAGACTCACGTGCCGTGCTGGGACAAGTCATGAAGGCAACTGGTGATGTTCACGCCACTCAGCTCTCGGATGAGCACAACGCGTCTATAGAGTCAGTGCGAGAAGAGCTTCAGGCCATGCATCCGGACCATCCAGATATTGTGGTTCTGAAACATAACGTTTGGAGAGTAAAAGGAATCATTCAGGTGAGAGAAAAAAAAGACAAAGGTCATATGTTTGTATATGTCTTTACATACAGTTCTGAGGTTTGTAATTGGCAGGTTTCAAGATCCATTGGGGATGTGTATCTGAAACGGTCGGAGTTCAACAGGGAACCGTTGTATGCGAAATTCAGACTCAGGGCACCGTTCAGCAGGCCGTTACTGAGTGCAGAACCCTCGCTGACGGTGCATAGGCTGCAGGAGCAGGACAAGTTTATAATATGTGCGTCAGATGGACTATGGGAACATATGAGTAACCAAGAAGCAGTAGAGATGGTGCAGACTCATCCGCGTAACGTGAGAATCACACATAAGTTTTGGTTGTGAGTGTTTAGAATGAAAAAACAAGTAATTGGTGTGATTTGCAGGGGATAGCAAAGAGGCTGGTGAAAGTGGCGTTGCAAGAAGCGGCGAAGAAGAGAGAGATGAGATACTCAGACTTGAAGAAGATAGAGAGAGGGGTGCGGAGGCATTTCCATGATGACATAACAGTGATTGTTGTGTACTTGGATTCAAAGCCTAGTGGGTTGAGAGGGCCGGTAGTGTCCGTTAGAGGCGCGGGTGTGAACATTCCTAAGAAAGCCTAGTGCTGCTGGCTCCAACGTTGTATGATGACCAAAGAGAAGATGTGCAGTGTAACTAATGAAATGAATTATTGTGATTGAATATGAAGTTGGTAGTTTTGTTACCTCTTGTTAATTGTTAGTTGTGGTGGAGAAAGAAAGAAAAAAGAATTATTCATTTTGACTAATGCTCTCTGTTTTCTTCTGTACAAAAAGCACAAAAAGAGATGAAGATGGTTACCATTCATTTCCTTTGAGTTTCTTGACACTCTTCTCCCACTCTATCTTTGAGTAATGTTTACGTATGTGAGGGCGCAGTTCAAGTGCCTCACAGTTTTGAACACATGAACAGCTTGAAAGCTCCTTTTAGTCTGTCTGTCCTTTACGAACCCAAAGGTTAGTTGAAAAGATTGTTCACTGCCACCAATAAGTGGAGTATTACTAGTGGCAGTGAATAATCTGTTCAACAAACCCAGGAGTATGAAGGGGGGGTGGGGCTGGGTTGCGGGTCAAACCCGGCCCGCTGACCCGCCAACCCGCGGGTTTTAGTTATTTTTTTCTTAAAAAATCCGGTCCGCACAACCCGCGGCCGTATAAATTTTCACCCGCACCCGCCCCGCTTAATTTTGCAGGTAACCCGCGGGTTATGTATCTTTTTTAAAAAAATAATTATTTAATTTATTTTTTTATGAAAAAGTAATAAAATAATATATTTATAAGAAAATTATATATTTCCAAATTTTTTAATTATTATTTTTTTTAAAATACCGTAAATTTTTTTAAAAAATATTTATTTTTCCAAAAGAATAATATTTTCTAACAAAAAAAACACTTAATTTAAAAAAAATGAAAAAAAAATTTGCGGGTTGGCGGGTACCCGCGATTAAAAATTCACCAATCCGCATCCTCCCGCATAAAATACTCAAAACTCACACCCGCACCGCCAGTCGATTTTTTCAAATTGTTCAACCCGCATCCGGCCCGCAACGGGTCAAACGGGATGGGACCCGCGGGTGATCACTCATATTCCCAGCTCTAGAGGGGGAGGGGGTATGATGTTACTTCACACACCTTTTGTTATGCAAATGCTCATGTTTTCAGGACACAAAGGTCACACTCTCTACCCACCACGTCTAGCAGTCTGCTCTCATGTTATTTTTTTTTACTGGGTATCCCTTATATATTATTTGAGAATCATTTAAAAGGTTGTAACCTTAAGTTTGTAAGATTTAAAAATAACCCCAATCCTACGTGGCATAACTCTTTGGCTTCTATTTCAAATCCCAAGGATTCTAGAGCATGTGATATAATGTATAGTTTAAAAATTATATTCTCTAGCAATATTATATTCCGTAGGCTATAGTTGGTTGCATTTATCAAATATTTATTGTTTCACATGATTTCCTTAAATAAAACCTACAGAATTACCTAGTATGATCAAAATATATATATGACAATTAATGATTTTAAACAATAAATATTTGATAACAATCTGTAAACTTTTTTCATTTTGTTTATTTCTTTATTATTAAAATAAATTACACAATTACATTAATCATATAATAAAAATCTAGATTTTTTTCTGTATGTTGTATTTCGAATTTTTCAAAATGATTATAAATTACTAAAACTGTTAAAAGTCCCACATAAACTTTTAAGATCAAGGTTTTAATTTTTTTTTGCTAACTAAAATATAATGATTATAAGACCATATGAAGAAATAATTTTAGTTTATATATATTTAATATCATTTTAATTAAACTATACATCGTATGAATATACATACTTATATTTTGATATTTGCCTTGAACATATATTGAAAATTTAATATTTTAATTTTGAAATATGTCATTGTTTTTTTTAAAATGATTATAAATTATTGAAACTACTAAACATCTCACATTAAAAAAAATTCATTGGTGTAAAGTTTTGTTACACAAATATGCAAATAATCATAAAATCATATGAGTAGAAAGCTCATTTAATTAATATTCATATTAAAAGTGTGTTATATTACTATGTTTATATCATTTAAATTTAATTATATATCATATACAATATATAAGATTGATTATTTTGATTTATTTACCCTAACTGTGAATAACAAGAGTAATAGTTAAATTTATATGCATACGCCAATTTATTACATAATAGTAACTGATTTCTTAGTTATTTAATATATATTTATTATTTTATTATTTATAATATGCAGAAAAATAGTAAATAATTATAAATATAAAATACTTATTGTGCATAAAGTGCAGATATTAACCTAAGTATGTATCTCTTTAATTATTTTAAATCTTAAGTATTTTCTAAAACAAACGAAATGAGAATAAAATTCAAAATAAATATTTAAATCGAGTGATAACCAAAATATAAAAAAAGATAGCAAGAGAAAAATGGAAGATAAATAGGACTGACACGTGAACGTAAACTTCTCATAACCATAATTAATTTTTAAATTGTTAAATCATGATATAATACTGAGTTAATTTTTAATGTGTTAATTTTTAATTTTTTAATTTTTTAAATCATTATGTTTATGTTAAATCATGACCATAATTAATTTCAAATTATTTATTTGTATTTGAAAAACTTAAAATATTTTTTTTAAAAATAATTTAAAATTTAACATAATTTTTTATAAATTATTTTAAAAATAATAATTAGGAAAAAATATAATTTTCTAATATTATTAGACAGATAAATAAATTATATTAAATTAGTTTTGAAACTTTATATATTTTAAATGCAAATATTCTACCAATTGCTTCTTAAAAAACATTAGTGAACTTGCTAATACTCTACCAATCAAGTCCAGTTACACTCCATTTATTTTCCATCACTCGAATATTGAAAAGTGAAAAGATATATGAAAACATATCCATTAAGTTCTAAGATTTAATCTACATTTCTAATTAAAATTGTTTCTAATCTTACGTATAGATAATTATATAAAAATTTCAAACTTTTTAAATTTCAAATACATACAAAAACAATCATATGTAAATATTAAATTTGTCAATACTAAATTTTATATTTTAATTACAGGTCTTATCCTAGTATATATTAAAAAAAAAAAGAGAGAGGAAAAAAAAACTATTTAAAATCACTTCTATGTCTGTCTCGTTCTTTATTACATGAAAACAATTTAGCTGCGCTTCACGGGACTTTTAGGTTAACGCCGCCTTTATTTTTTTTTTATATTACCCCGCCGCTATCCATATTCTCATCAGAACCCTCTCTCTCTCTCTCACACACACAAAAACTAAAGCGCGATGATGATTACATATTCCATCCCTATTGATCTCATCACCGAGATATTGTTGAGGTTACCAGCAAAGTCCATCGCTAGGTTTCGTTCCGTATCGAAGCAATGGGCATCAACAATCGACCATCCACATTTCAGAAACTTGTTCCTAACCAAGTCCTCGTCTCATCCTCGTCTCATATTCTCCATCGAGGAAGAGGAAGAGGGTCGGTGGAGCATCTTCTCTTTACCTCAGGCTTCATCATCTTCTCTCGCCCAGTTTCATATGAAGTTCCCTCCAGACAACATGTGGATCCTTCCTCGTGATCACCGACAATTCGCACGTGGCTACGCCTCCGGTTTGATCTATTTCTACAGTATGTATGCCAAGAAGCCAGAAAAACGTCACGTCTCTGTGGTATGTAACCCTAAAACAGGACGATACGAGGCCTTGCCTTGGCTCTTACGTTACAGGAAGACGTACAGCTTTTTCGGGTTTGATCCGGTTGGAAAGCAATACAAGGTATTGCATTTGACATATCCGTCCTGCTCTGACGACCACAGGATCATGACACTTGGAACTAGAGGAATGAGGTGGAGAAAGATCCGCTGTCCATTAAGACTTGCGAATGTGGGTGAAGGTTTATGCATAAATGGGGTTTTATACTTCTTGTGTGACGGGAGTGAGTGCAAGGAGATGTCTTATGACGACTTTAATTACGTCATCGCTTGCTTTGATGTTCGGTCTGAGACGTTCAAGTTTCTTTATCCTGAGAGCTATTGTTTCTGTGAATTGATAAACTATAACGGTAAGTTGGGTGTGGTTTACTACGATGATCTCAGTGACGATGTTGTTGAGTTCCGAGTATGGGTTCTAGAGGATGTGGATAAACAAGAATGGTCCAAGTATGCCTACGCTTTAAGGGGCGATAAGCTCTTCCCGCATTACGTTTCGGTCGTTGGTGCGATTTCTACGGGTGAAATTGTTTTGTCGATGGCGGATTATACGTCTGGACAACCGTTTTATGTTTACTACTTCAATCCTGAAGAGGATAATACTGTTCGACGCGTTGAGATACAAGGTTTTGGAGAGTATCACGAAGCGTCCGACAATCCTCGTAGAGTCCACGTCTTTGTAGACGATTGTAGTAGTAGATACTTGGCCTTTGCTAACAATGAAGAGGATGTTAATGTTAACGATCAAACGCTACTCAGGTCTAACATCCATGTTCCATATGTGTATAACGAAGAATCAGAAGAAGAAGAATCAGAAGAAGATTCTGATGATGGGCGTATGTTTCGTGGTAACAAGAAGAGAGGATGAGGATATAGCTGATTGTTGAATTTTCTGCTTTTGTCTATTATTATATTGCTTGTAGCCTCTTGGATTTGGTACCCTCTTTCTAACTATTTCAATAAATCATGTTTTTATTTAATATTCTGACGTGTTACAAAAAAAAAATTAATATTCTGACTTTCTAAGTATACGAGAGAGAGGTAATGAATACAAAACTAGCAATTATTGAGGTGGTAGCTAACTTTTGTAGCTTCTTGTGAGTCGCTCAACAATTTGTAATTCTCCGGTAAGATGTTGAACAAGTTCTGTGAAGGAAAACATGAAAACAAACCCAAGACTTGTACGTTATGTTACAAAAAGCAAAGTCGAAAAAAGCTTGTAGTATTAATAATAACATTGGTATAAATGTTGGCAATCATGAAAGCTAACTCTAAGACCAGTCTCCCATGAGCTATTAAACTCAATTGCCATCTCCATGGCGTTCCTATGGATGATCCAACCATCCAACATCTTTGCTTAGGAACATTCTTCAACTTTCTTTGCATCACTACTCCTACAAACCAAACCAGAACTTTGGTCAGAATAAACCAAAACGAAAGTTGTGACAAAAAAATAAAGCGGCGAAGAAGAGAGAGATGAGATACTCAGACCTGAAAAAGATAAGAGAGAGGGGTGAGGAGGCATTTCCATGATGACATAACAGTGATAGCTGTGTACTTGGATGCAAAGCCTAGTGAGCTGAGAGGACCGGGGGTGTCAGTGAGAGGCGCGGGTGTGAACATTCATAAGAAAACATAGGCGCCTTGCACCACCACGCCCACTCAAGCTGCTGCTGCTGCTGGCTCCAACGAGACCAAAGAGAAGATGTGCAGTGTAACTAATGAAATGAATTATTGTGATTGAATATGAAGTTGGTTGTGTGTTTCAAAAAAAAAAAAGAATATGAAGTTGGTTGTTTTGTTTCCTTTTGTTAATTGTTAGTTGTGGTGGATGACTGCAGAAAGAAAGAAAGAAAGAAAACAGAATTTGACTAATGCTGTCTCTGTTTTCTTCTGTACAAAACGCACTATCAGAGATGAAGATGGTTGCCAAAACCAGCTTTAGAAATTCTTAACTACTTTTGGCAGCTCAACGAAATCCAGAGCCCTTGGCTCTCCTTCGAACTCTCCTTTTCTTTGGGTTTCCTTGACACTCTCGATCTTTGAGGAATGTTAACGTATGTGAGGGCACAGTTCAAGTGCTCACAGTTTTGAAACATGAACGAGCTTGAAAGCTCCTTTTAGTCTGTCCCTTACGAACCCAAAGCTTAGCTGAACAGATGTTCACTGCCACTAATAAGTGTACTAGAAGAGTATTACTAGTGGCAGTGATTAATCTGTTCAACAAAACCAGGAGTTTAAGGGGGGTATGATGTTACTTCACACTCCGGTTTGGATTTGTGGCAGGAACCATATGTAGACCCAAGAACAAACCTATGCTCATGTTTTCAGAACAAACCTATGCTGCTCTGATGTTTATATTCTTGCTTTCAAAACCAATATGTTGATCGTTAATGGTCTTGGTCATATACTAATACTATATTATATATGTATGGTGTACAACATTCAGTAGTTTGGTTTCACTAAACATAATGACTTTTTTAAAAAAATTTGCTAAGTAGAAATCTAATACTCGTTACAAAGAAAGAGGCTTTGATTCATCTTTCTACATTCAAACAACAAATTAACCTCCTTTTGCAGTCTACAGATGAAAACAAAAAAGCCTCTCACTCTCTCAGGGAGCTTTCCTCAAGATGAGAGCCAATACGTAACAAAGAGAAGAGTCAACGGAAGATAGGGCAACAATGAAGACAGCTACAAGAAAGAGACTCAGTGTGGCAGTCTTGAGCTGCTCCCAACCCAAAACATAAAAAAAAACAAAAAACAAAAAGTTATTGTAAGTATGTAATGTAGTAACATCTAACAAACAAAGAACTAGTGGTGGTAGACACAACATACCGTGGTTGTAAAGCTTGGCCACTCTATGAATTTCAGCTGGCTAGGCTGCTCAGCCATAAAGGAGAAGAGGTCTCTCGTGCTCCTTTTCAAGAAAAGATAACAAAACGCCAATTCAATGGAAACGAAACATAGAGACATAGAGACAGAGAGAATAATTTGTAATATACCAGACAATGTCCCTAATAAGGCTCAACCATAAGGGAGGCTCTTCTTCATGGAAGCTCCGACTTTGATGCGCGGATACAGCTCGATAGCCACCCACATGCTTATAGCTAACTCTCCATTTGAGACTCTACAAGACCCCAAGGAATAACAACACACACAGGTTTATGTCAAAAATCTAAATGAGCTGTTCCTTTTGCCTTTAGAAAATAGATGAAATATTATTACCAAATCCCGAGGAAACTTGGAGCTGATGCTTGGTCCGAACCTTTGAATCCGGTGTGAGGGATGAGTTAATCGGATTAAACCTATTGGTTTAAACAAAACTGCCAAGGCAAATTTAATCAGTGATCTAGTAATAGTATACAAGAAAGACAAAGGAGCGAAAACTGACCTGAAGCATTTGTGAGAGAAAACACCATCCTCCCTCTGCAAATATCCTAAAACTATACGAAAAGGTCGCTTGGAGGATAACCAAGCCAGCTTTTTATGGGCTTAATGGGCTTACGTTTATGGGATTAATGGGCTTATACATCAGGCCTTTTGATTTTTATTTTGTATTTAATTCAGTAAAACGTTTCGTTTTCGATTGGGTTTAGTATGTTTGCCGAGTGAAAATGTCTGATCAGAATAGTTTCTATTGCTATTTTTTCTCGTCTGTTTCCAAACCAATGTTTCATTCACTTCTTTTTTCCTGTCAAAGCCTATTACAAGACAATTATGCGGAAAATACATCCACCAACCTCTCTACCTAAACTAAACCAAAAAACCCTCTCCTATATTTTTTTTGTAGCATTTGCCGTGCTTCCATGTATTGTAACTTGTAATCCATACATGTTAATCATCCCTGGTCCTCCACATCATCCTTACCACCATCACCATCACCATCATCGTCATCACTATCATCATCCTTCCTAATCTCAACGTCGATATCACTATCCCCCTCCTCTTCCGCACTTTCATCATCATCATCTGAACTTTCATCATCAGAATCATCTTCATCTTCCTTCTCGATATCATCATCCTCCACATAATACGCACGTGCATGATCATCTCCATCTTCATCATAAAACGAGAACCATCGAGAGTTACCAGAAACCGAAGCCTGTTTTCCAGAAAGCAACATACAGACACCATTAGTGTATCTTCCAAAACAGTATTCAGGTGGGCATATCTGAGTCTTGAGATTAACATAATAGATCATATTACCTGTTCTGCATTTCTAGGCGAACCGAGTTCCTCAGTTCCTCCAGGAGTCCATATTTTGATGTCAGTCTCGATTCCACTACTAGCCATGAGTGGCATGTGAGGATGAGACTCTACACAGTTGACAACATGTCTATCTGCTTCCATGGCACGGAGAAGCTCTCCGTCTTTCTTCCTCCAAATGAACATTCTGCCGCAGTCCGAACCACTAACCACATACTCACACTTGGGTCCAAAAAACCCCACCCCTTTGACTGTTTTACGGTTAGTGTGCTCTTTATAAACCTGCGGCGTGGCCATTGTCTTCTTCATCTCAGTCACAGTCTCAGATGCAGCAGTCTCAGTATCAGATGAAGAGGATGGATCCGGTCCCATCCCCATATCAGGGCTGAAAAGATAGATGAACTCCTCGCTATATGAAACAAGAAGCTCGCTTTGTTCTGAGTAAGCGAGGCCTGTTATTCCCGCATGTTCGCTTCCAATCAAATGGGGAGGAGAAAAGTGGTCAACGGGTTCTGAATAAGTATACCAACTCTCGGAGCGACAGCTGCGAATGTCATAGACACGAGTATACTCATCCATTCCAGCCACGGCAAGTAGACGAGGGTTCCTCGGATCAACTGCAATTGCATTCAAGTAGACAACTAAATTGAACTTTGCTTCTTTACAAGTCAAAAGATTTGTAGCCACCTGAGTCCTAAGATCAAACTGAGAAAATAACGTTGTCAGAAAAAAAAAAAAAGAAAAAAGAAAAAAAAGGAAAGGATAAAAGCAAAAACTCACATGCTTTACAACAGCATCCTCACCACAAGTGTAGAATGAGAAAGGACTTCCAGGCTCAATAGCTAACTTGTGGACCTGTCCTTGATGTATACCCAACATACAAGTCTCTACTTGTCCCGACTCTAGAATTTTTGAATAACGAACCTGAAACATTGAATGTAAATGGTTTTCTTAAGGGAATTTAGGTGAGATAACCAAACAAAAATCCATAATTCATTATATAACCAAAATCACACCCTCTCTCCTCTTCTTTCTTCCTATCTCTCTCTACTCTCTTTCTATAAAACTAATTTTACTCTCTTTTTTTGGTTATATCACAAATAAGCCTTCTTCTTAATTAGTGGGGAGCACACACACACACACAGCTAGTTTGAATATTAAAAAAAAGAATGAAAAAAGAAGACCTCTCCATCAGCAGCAGAGGTGACAATGGTGCGATCATCAGAGAAAGGCATGAACTTGGCTTGGAAAATATTATTGGAATGGCCAGAATCGAAAGAGAGTTTAACAGTAGCATTGTCCCAATCCCAGAGTATAACTTGCGTGTCATCAGAGCCAGAGACAAGGATATCTCCACCAGCATTGAAGCTTACTGTGTTGACACAATCCGTATGCTTTTCGAGCTTCTTGTGGAGACCAATACTGTGTAACATATGCTGATAAAAAAACAGTTATCCACATTCACAATCAGAACCAAGAATCAATCTAAAGAAGTTAGTTATCAATTTTACAAACACTAACAATGTTCCGGAATTGGAATAAACAGACAATTTCATTATTATCGAGAAGGGGTTTAAGGAGAGACAGACCTCAGAGGCTGAGAAACGGTTGGAGAAACTGCGATTGGGTAACTGGCCTAACTCCCTTTCCCAGATTCTGACGACGGAATGGTCGTTGCTTCTTTGCCTTTTGGTTGGCCGTCCACTCATTTTTTTTTCCCAGAAATTGATTTCTGCTGGAGTCTCTCGAAAAAGAGAGAGAGGAGGTTGTGGAACAAAAAGCTAACCAGAAATGAAGATCGTACTCTTATATACGACTCCACCTCTGTTGACTTATTAAAAGCCCAAATACAGCCTTGACGACCAAACATTATAGCCCATTAAAGCGAGATAGCGACTAACTGAAAACGGACACGTGTAAAACAAAGGGGTCAACTAAAATTAAACACATTTTTTTTTTTTTTTCACTGGATTTCATTGATAACATTGAGAATGATACAAAGTTGATATTCTTAAACCGGCGGAATATAAGACAATCCCCGGAAGCTAAGCCCATACAAGGGAAACTAAAACCCAAACGAAAGGGCCACATACCAATAGCCTGAACTTAAACAAAACACCTAGATCACTTTAAGATCCAAAGACAAACCGCCGTAGATTAAGAACATAGACATAATGGTCTTTGACTAGCCGGAACTCTTGCATCAAACAACGCAAGATAGCAAACAACGCAGATGACAACTTCAAAAAGACCGCAACCTCATCAGAACCGGATGAAACAACATCCACAAGAGCACCTAACTCAATCGCACCTTAAACTGGAAACTTCCCTGTTTCAACCTCTTATATTGCTTCAACCAGACGAAGCCATGAGGACAACTGAGACCATAGGAAAACCATGATAGACACTAAACAAAAGGCGAGAGACGGTTTCTTTCGAACTTGAGAGACCAAAAGGTGTTCTGAAACCACCTACTTCTCAAGGACCAAACCAACAACTACTAACCACACACCACCACGTTACTGCTACCCCGTCGCAAAATCAAAGACCAACAAAGACTAGCTCAAGAACCCATGAGAAATTAACCTAGTTCCACGGAAAAAAAACAACACACATCCTAAACGAGAATACAGCCAAAAGCCAGCCATTACCTCGACACCACCACGCTACCGTCTCACCGCGAAGCCAGAAGAGACTGAGACGCCACCAGAACCAACACTCCTAACGAGCGGAGAGCTTTCCGGAGCAGAATCAGAAACCCAGATCCGTGTGTATGTTGAAAGAGACATGGCTAAGAGGAAGTAACAGCGAAGGAGAAGCAAGAAAGAGCCAAAGGTAAGCCTCCAGCGCCGGTACGCGCGCACACGCGCCACCAGACGCCGGAGCGGACGTGAGAGTTTTTATAAACTGATGAGAGAGGTGAGAGCTTTTATTTATTCTGCAATGATACGAAATACTTGAAGATTTATTAATGTAAATTAAACACATTTTCGTAAGGGTTTATTTGTGAAATGACTAAGAAAAAAAATTAGATTTATAGCAAGAAGGTAGAAAGAGATAGGAAGAGAAAAGAAGAGAGAGAGTAGAGTTTTAACTAGCTAATTAAATATAGTTTTTTTAGGATCATTTGGCCTAATTTCCTTTTTCGTAAACCAACCAGAAAAAAATGTGGGTGAGTTTAATCTTTCTGATCACTGTAGTTTTAAATGTACATGAAGTTTTTTTTCATCAACTTGAATGCTGGAGTAGACAATATGGGTGTGTGTGTGTGTGATGTAATACAAGGAACAAAATCAATTGAATAGCAGCAAGCAGGTAAGCAACACACACAAACTCTGCAAATTTGCTATAAGTCTTTTTAAAAGTAATGCAAAATGATAGGCAGTCAATGATGTGTTGTACTTCTCCTTAGGGCTGCAAAGATACCTCCTCCTCCACCTCCTGTTGGTGATCTTTTCTTCTCCTCCTCCTCTTCTTCTACCTACCACAACACAACACAGCACACATTCAATTTTCTTGTATTATTACTCTCCCCCACATTTCATTCTCTCTCTTTACTTACTTCCTTAGCTATCTCTTGTAGCTGCTCTATTAGCTCTGAGAAGTCTGGTCTCAGAGTTGGATCTTTCTCCCACAATCTCTCCATTAGCTCTTTCATTTTTGGATGCGTCTTCTTCGGTATTGTAGGCCGTAGTCCCTGAATAACCACCCCCACAACTACGTTTTAAGCTTCACAAGCAAGGAATTCATCATACAACACAAACACACAAAATAAACAGATTTACCTTCTGAACCACCCCTACTGCTGCCTGCAATGGCGTCATGTATTCATATGGAATCTGCAATCACATCAAACCCCATTGACTTAGTTTAGCCTAACACTGAGATGATATTTTAAATTGTCAGATGAGAAAAGACTTATGTATAAAATACCTTGCCAGTCAACAACTCCCATAGCACAATCCCGTAGCTGAAAACGTCTGCCTTGTGATCATATGGCTTGTGTTCTATCACCTCCGGAGCCATCCAGCGATATGTTCCTGTTTCAGCTGTCATCACTCCTGTTTGTGCTTTTACTCTAGCCACCCCAAAGTCTGCTACCTTAACTACCTGTAAATAATCCACACACCATTATGAATCCGCAACTTGTGTAGGTACACTGAGTGAACGAACAAACAATATGATATGTAGCATTTCACCCCAAAGTATGCAAGCTCCGCCCAAATGCCAATTCATATATTCACACAACCAAGCTACTCGGCGTGCAAAGAGAGAAGAAACAAGATTAAAACACTACGTTGAGAATATTACCTCATGCTCGTCCATTAAAAGGTTGGCAGCCTTCAAATCTCTGTGGATTATATTATTTTGGTGCAAGTAGTCCATCCCTTTGCAGATATCTATAGCTACTTTTAACAAAGCTGGAAGCTTAAACACGCCCTTTTGCTTGTGTAGATAGTCATATACACTTCCACCGGGCATGAATTCTATTATATGAGAAAAGAGATATGAGGGAATAAAAAGAAATATAAATAAAAATATACCAAGCAACATACCTGTAACAATACACAAATGTGGTGGTTTAGTGCAAGCACCAATGAACTGAACGACGTTTTTGTGCCGCACTTTCCTGGAAACAGAAAGATTTTGAATGATTATCATACGAGTCTGAGATGCTATTTTCATCTGTACACAAGTTCACAAGGGAAGGCACACACAAACCTCATAATAAAGACTTCTTGGGCAAACTCTTTCTCTAGGTCCGAATCTAGACGCTCTGGCTTGAGGACTTTGATAGCAACTTCCTGGCTACAATATGTACCTTTATACCTGAACAACACAATAGGTAAAGATAAAGAGGGAGAGAGATTAACTTCTAACCATCTGAAATGACATTACATTTGATAGCTAGAACAAACTTACAGATCTCCATAAGAACCAGATGCTATTTTATGCCCGAATTTTAAGCGTTGAAGGTTGATTTCCCAAACATCAGTTCCATCAGTGGGTATTGCCACTGTCCTGCCACCTGTTTGACTGTTTTCCTTTTCAGGAGAGAATGATTGCTGCATAGGCCAGCTTTGGTCCTGCAACTGAGTGTAGTGAAAAAAAAATCATTAATAACTTAGAAAACACGACATGACATGATTGTGAGATGTTGCCACCATGAAAACATGCAAGATTCCATTTAAAACACCAAACTCTCATTTTTCAGAATCAATTATAACTCACATTTTGCACGAAAGTAGTTTAAAATGGCAACGTACCTCGATTTTTGCTGCTTCTTTTTCCAGTGCTATTCTAAGTCTATCTACTTCCTGCATAATAATAAAAAATGTAGCATACCAACAATGGTTGTTAACTAAGAACCTTTCTCTTTATAATGGATGAACATGTTATGTTCTTATAGAGCATATCTATCGTTGCAATAAGGAAGGAAAAAGGATAAGAAAGTACCTCGTAGGGCCAACCATCAACGACAAAAACATCAAGTGAGAAGCCATCAGTTGTAGAAAAAGCATGCGCCTCTTGAATATTAAGCCCAAGCTCAGCAAGCATTGCAGTTAACTGCATCATTTACACTGGATTAATAAGAAATAATCACACAAGCCAACAATTCACAGAACCTATATATATACCTGAAAAAGGAGTTTAGGCTTGTCTATTGTGGAAAAGGTTATCTCATGCAAGGGCCTGCATACGAATCAACGGGGTGAGTTAACAATTTAGCATATATGTAAACTTGAGTTCTTGCATTTTTCTATGATCCAAGATGAAAGCACATATACCGTGAATTGTTAGGGGCAGAGTTGTCTCCCTCCTCGTTACTAGCTACAAGTGCAAGTGCTTCAAGATTGGGAGATGAACCAAAGGCAGGCGGTGGATGAATGCTGGAAAATAAATAAATAAATAAGCAAATAAGTAAGAGGTGGAACAAGCTAGAGTGGAGTTACTTGATTGATTGTTTTCAAAGAAGAATTGGTTAGGCAAAAGTAAAACCTTTTTCTGGAAGAGAGTGAAGAAGTTTGATCAGGTTGATTGGTAAGAGAGTCCGAAGTAGCAGAGATCCCAGGAGGTTGAACCTTAAGAGAAAAGATGAGTCACCAAACATCCTGTGAGTCCAAAAGTTCACACAGGCAAACCATAAAAGATGAAAGATCAGGCAAAGGGGAATGGTTTTGGTTTCTAACTTTCTACAGTTAATTTCCAAATAACAAAGGGAGCGAAAAAGATAGAGAGCAAAAGTTAAGAAAATAATGATTAATATAAAACTAAACAACTCACCTGGACGAGACGAACTTGAATAACAGGCCTGTTATGTGGATCAAGAGCGGACTCTAGTAATCTCTGATGCATTAAAACGTCTTCAGCCCTCTCTACATTCACATCCAAAGCATACCTAAAAACAAGATTTGAATAATTAGCCTCCTGATCCAACTATTTTTGTAAAATCTATACCACATGCAGAAGCAGATTATTAAAGAAATGTATAATGTAAAAAAAAGAAAAAAATTACCGAGCGGGGAGACGGTTAAAGTGAGTCCAAAGGTCGTCCATGAAACCAGGGAGATCGGTTTCTACGGTGTCAGATTGACGGAGACGGCGGATAACCTCATCGAAAACCTCCATTTTCATGCGTTCACGACGGTCAATGGCTGCCTGCGACGTCGGTAAGATATCGGTAATGACTCTACTACCGCAGCTCTCGTTGTCTTCCATCACCACCATTGACGACGAAAAAAGATGATAAAAGTGGTTCCAACAAGAAAGGAAAGTTGTAAAAAAATTAAAAAAAATTAAAGTATCTTTGAATTTGATCCAACACAGAGAAGAGACACTTGGGTGGAGGAAGATGAAGATGTTAGGATCTTTATAAAATATATTCAAATTGTGAAGAATAAAGATGAGAGAGAGATGATCAGAATTGAGGAGGATGTAGAAAAGGTTATGAGAGTTTTTTTTTAACGTTTTTATGTTTCTTCTTCTGCAATTGTGTTTCGTTGTTTTTTTTTTTTTGTTCGGGAGGTGTATAAAACGACACCGTGGTGCGCAGCGGATGACTCATGCGGCCGTGGCGATGCTAATCTATTTTAATCACTGAGGGGTATTAATGTAATTCACGCTATTTTCTTAATTACCAGATTTTGATTAACGACGAGTAATTATGATTAGATCTCCTCCATTTGTCTCCCCCTGATTACGCCCTTTTGCGTTACTGTGGCCCCACTCTCTCCTGCCTCCTCCATTGGCATATTCCACCACATATGAGCCCACCTATTAACGTTATCCGGATCAGGTTCTTCCCACCTATTAACGTTATTTCTCCTTCTTTTCCTTATTTATCCGTTTTTTACCCACTTACTTTCCTCAATCGAATAAAACACCCCTTCAATTTCTCGATTCCCAGACATAATAATAGGTGGTATCAAATATGGACGTCATATAGTTGTCTTGTCGATTGTATAATTTGTATTCATTGAGTGGGCTTTTCTCGTTGGGGATAATGTTATTTTTATTATTTTTCACTGGAAATGCTGTATTTTTGACACGTAAAAAATGACACCCACATATCAAAGATAAATAGGGCCCAAATATCTCGAGTCCTTGACAGTCTCACTCACATGTGACTCACTAGTAGTCCCTCATGCTTGGAAACATTGTACTCTCGACCAACATCATAATTAGTTATGTAGCTTCTCCTTATCCTAAAGCGCTTGATTATTTTCATTCATCAAGCTCAGGTTTTCCAATGCATTATTCATTTGATTAGTAAGGGCATAAATGTGCATCAAGTTGGAAACACCATCTTATTATATACACATGTGACTAATATGGAGTAGATCGTATTGTTCTCTTGTTTTTTAAAAAATGTATATAAATATATATGGTCTAGCAAAAATGCATTCCATATTTTCTATCAGATAATTTATTTGAAATATGATCGAAAACTATGCGTAAAGACGCAATTTGTGCTGACCCAAGTAAACATGCATACTAGTATTAATGTATAATAATCGCACAATGGATGATTGGAGACGCATGCAAACACTTACAGTAATTTTTAGCAAAAAAAAAACACTTACGGTTATAGCATTTTGAATGAATAAACACCCTTTTTTCCTCAAATATTGTGAAATGAGATTTTGTATTTAAATTAGTCCATGTTGATGATCAACAGCAAAGAGAAGGAGTTGACCAGAGAGAGAGAGTAAAGATGCGGCTACAAGGAAAGGAATAAACCACTTTGATTCGGTAAATCAGAATTAGTGAATGACTAATCAATTCTATTTAATTGGTAGTTGGGTAGGGTCCCAGTGTCGATGATGTGGCAGCACATGTCTCCATTACATCCCACGTGTACTGTTGCCCCTTTACGCTCACCAAAGGTCACGTCTTAAGCGGGACGGCCAGCGAAGCCGCGACATGTCGCCGTTCTCAAGTTTCCATCCTACCATCTGTTTTTGTTAGGAACCATTCCTTTTCTTTTTCTTTTTCATCTTCATCCATTTTAATTAATCTTTACCTATCCAGCAGACCAGCACATTGCCCCTTCTAATTTTTCTCCTAAGTTTCTGTATACGAATGGTAAGGTAAACCAGCACTCTAATCATTTTGTATATCACCAGGGCCGGCCCTGAAAATAAGGGGGCCTAAGGTCAATTTTTAACAATTTCACCTAAAAAAAAAGTTTCTTATGGATTTGGAGGTCTAACAAAAATTTTTAGGGGCCTATATACATGGAACTTTTTTCAAAAAATTTGGGGGTCCAAAGCCAATGTTTCATTAGGCTTGGCCCAGGACCGGCCCTGTATATCACACTACTTATAATCAAATAACCCAGTGGTAACTAAGACATCATCCCGTTGTATATTAATATATCCTGAACATTTGTGTTATTCCGACTAAATAATGACATCTAGTATGGTTGCGTGCCAATTTTTTCTATATATTTATGTTATCACAAGCAAAAACATATGGGATACATGTGTGTATGTATATTTATATATATTCGCTGATCAAAAAGGTTCCAGGAGGATATATTAAAGATTCAGCAACTAAACACAATGTCAGATCACTTAGAAAATATTATCACCAAATAATACGAATATTTAAACAAATTTTAATTGGTTTCACGATAAACCCTAATGATCATCTGCCACACACACCGTAGGTCCAGGATCATGTTAATGGAAACGGTCAAACCAAGAGAAACGATAAAATACATTGTTTTAAGATAAACTAGATTTTGACCCGCGTTTGAAAGCGCGAAAATTTTTTATGATTAAAACTTTATATAATTGGGTTTTGTCTTAATTTAAAGAATATTTTGATATAAAATCAGTTCACCAAAATTTGTGGTGATGATTATTTTTCATTAGTTTTTAGTTTCGTTTTTTATTTTTAAATTTTGGTTTTTAGTTTTTAAGTTTCTACTTTTCATTTTCAGTTTTTGGTTTGGTTTTTTAATTTTTAAACCCGTTGAGTTAGTTTAAACTAATATTACCAACAAAAAAATCTCAAATAATCGAACATCTAATTCAAAACTGAAAAGATGACAACAAATTTACAAAAAAAAATTTGAAATAGTTTATTTTGTAAATAAACAAAAAAAAATATAACATGTGTTTTCAGCTTTTGGTTTTAGATTTTAGTTTTTAGAGTTGGTTTTTGGTTTTGCTTTACATTTTTCTAATCAGTAAATTATTTAAGAAAAATAAAACAATAATTTATTTAAAAGTTACCATTGAAATTTATCAAAACAAAGTGATTGTTGTTTAAAATAAAAAAATATATATTAACATGTTTTAAAGTACATGATTTAAATAAATGATTAATAATAAATATTTTTTTTGGTTAAAAATATTAAATACCTTTTGGGTCTGAAAATAATAATTGATTTTTTGATCTTTTAAGGTGAAAAGTTTATTCAATGTTTTTAGAGTCTTTTTCTTAATACTAAGCCCAAAAACCAAACTATATAATTTGTTCAAAAAATAAAAGTAAGCCCAAGACTATATTTCATAAATAATCACTGGTTTAATTTAAGTATAATTAGTAGATTTCTATATTCCATATTTTGATGATATATATTATTTTAGAACATTCCATATTTCTAGGAGAAAATATGTGTTTTCGGTATACACATAGATACCTGCCATATTTTGAAGATAGTTTACATTAAGGTCGTCTCTTTATATTAATTGTGTTGGTTTAATTTAAGTAATACGGTTTAATCAATTACATGACTTATATTATTTGTAATATTCTAGAAAGGGTCCAAATTTAAATGACAACTTGTATCAGTAGATAAAAAGAATGACTCTGTTTTAATATAGTAGATTACTCATTTTCCATAATATACAATATTTGAGATAATTAAGATTTGATGTCCCAGAATATAAAATATTTTGATAATAACTTTAATTTTATGTTGACCAATAATATTTTACTGCAATATTTATGATTGGTCAAGTTAATTTAAATACTATTATTAATGATATTATATTTGAAAAGGTATGTTTTTTTTTCTATGCTTTTAACTAAAACATCTTATATTGTTGAATGAAGGGAATATAGAATAACCATGGTTGGTCTTGGGTAAAAAAAAAAAGAAGAAAAACACTCATTTTATCTCGAAACTACATAGATAATATAATGTTTTACGACCTAAATCTTATACTCGGCCAGTAACTCAGCCATATTTATCCAGTTCGTATTACACGACTCGTTTAATTAGTACATAACAAAAAAACGAAGATGTATACAGAAGGTGTGTATATCAGATTCATTGAACCGAGACATCAAATTATGAAAGTCAATCTAGAGTTGTAAACCTACTAATTATTTTATATGCAACTCAATTGATTAAAACGTGAAACATATAAAAGTGTATGTATCAGACTACCAGTGGATGTAATTCTGCTATCAACTACTAATTCGACTCAAGCTCTAGGTTTAAGCGATAAGCGTATAAACAATTCGTGATTTACTGAGGTTATCTTCCATAACATAAACCTAACTTGCCTGCTAGTTTGTGTATCCCTTTCTGTTGTTATCAAGTGTTCTGCTTCGATGAACCACCTTTTTATCATGTAACTCCATCCACTAATTTCATATACTATTAGTATTCGGTGTTTGTGTGTTATGATAGTACAATTTTATGTAGAATCTGTTGCTATCGGTTGATTAATAATCTACATGAAAAAAGTCTTGTACTTGCGTTCTTAACAAAGGAATCAGCAAAAACATTGAAGATATATACGAAATGAAACAACGCTGACTACCCCAACATTTATTTGCAAAAGTTCAGATAGGCGATGATGATACTTTAGTTACGTCACGAGTCCAATAAAAAAAAAGTGTAATAATACTTTCTTTTTTGTTTGGAAAGAAAACATACAATGTGTGGATCGTGTATATAAAAGACAGAATATGATGTATACATTGGATAAGATGGCCACCGATTAATAGTGGTCGGAGTTTAAAGCAAGATAAGACTTATGGATTTGGTCTAAATTGAAAAACAATACAAAAATGGTCACATTTGCAATTTTCTAAGAGTATGTATTGACAATGTCGTCTAAACACGAAAAATACTTAATCAAGCAGTCACTTTTCGTTGTCATATATTAGACACAACAAGTGACCACTTATTCAATCAATATAATCTAATCTAATCTAATCTAACTATGTGAACGTTCAATAGCTGTGTTCATGGAGTTAGCTACGTCAGGAAATGAGAAGGTGGCATGTCTGTGTAGTATCAAGTATGGTTTGGACAGGGAGAATCGATTGGGATGAAGAAAACCCGATAACATGATTGTATTTTGCTTCAAGGCATATAACTTCTGACGGGCCAATTTAAGTGGGCCTTAATGGGCATCTTGTTCTAATTTTACAGTATAATGGATTTTAATAGGCCCATAAAACCGAAACAGAAACCGCCATTGCTCCGGCAAATGAACGAACGGTTAACCCCTGATTGAAACCCCTTCTCTCTCTATCTCTCGACGATCTCAAAAAGTCTCAGCCTTACCATATCTCCGTGAGTTCCCTTTCTAGACTCTGTAGCTTGTAACTCCGCATCCTGCGCTGTTTTGCTTATATAGTATCGTATTTTTCTCTATCGCTCTAAGAAACTAGTTTCCTTCACCGTCGTTTCGTTTCGGTTGCAACAGTCATTCTTATTTCTTGTTTTTGTTTTTGTTTTGCGATTATATGTTATTATTCCTTGTAGTCATGTACACGTTTGTGAAACCATCTTAGGTTGTTGGGAGATGGAGTCCACTAGATTAGTTGGCGGGAACCAAGTTTCACTGCCCTTGACAACTACTAATCGGTTAGCCAAAGTGAAAAGGAAAAGAAACTTTCAACCTCTTTCTCGGATTAATGACGTATTTACCCCCCAAACATGCTCTCTTCACACCAACAATCCACAACACTCGGTTTCTCCATTCGTGACTCGCCGGAAGAGCCAGAGTAATCCTGATCATCACTCTGGTGTTTTCGAGTTGGAGGAAGAAGAAGATGACTCTAAAATCCCTTCACTCCCGTAAGGCTCTTTGAGGTGTTTGCGTTATACTCTTTGCCACGTAAGTAAGTAGCTTCCCGCTTCTTCTTGGCCTGTGATTTGATCTCTGTCCTTGCTTTGCTAGGGAAGTGAATGGGGTTCGAAACACACGTCCTGTGGATGTGAAAAGAGAACTGGTTATGCTGTCTCTTCCTGCCATTGCTGGACAGGCTATTGATCCTTTGACGTTACTCATGGAGACTGCTTACATTGGCAGGCTCGGTTTGTTTTTAATTTTATTTTGCTTTTCTTTAAGAAAAGAGTTTGTTTTTGAGAATCCTTTTTTTTTTCTCTGGAATATATGCAGGATCTGTAGAGTTGGGTTCGGCTGCTGTTTCTATGTCCATCTTTAATACCATATCTAAGCTCTTCAACATTCCTCTCCTCAGCGTTTCCACTTCTTTTGTCGCTGAAGATATAGCTAGGGTTGCCGCTCAAGATTTAGCCGAAGGTTACTGTCAATAGTTTACTTTAAAAAAATATATATATATTAGATATTCACTGCCTTTTATGTATTTACTTTTTTCAGAGGATATGCATAGTGAGAGACCTTCTCAAGGTTTACCAGAGAGGAAGCAGTTGTCTTCAGTGTCAACAGCGCTAGTGTTAGCCGTTGGTATTGGCGTCTTCGAGGCACTTGCGCTCTCTTTGGCATCTGGACCTCTTTTAAGGTTAATGGGTGTACCATCTGTAAGTTCGCTCCAAATTTTAACTTATAGCATTGAGAGCTTCCGCTGCAAATTATGCTCATAAAATCGATGTTTGGTCACAGACGTCAGAAATGTTCATTCCTGCGCGGCAGTTTCTTGTCCTTAGAGCTCTTGGTGCCCCTGCTTATGTGCTGTCTTTAGCTCTTCAAGGCATTTTCCGTGGATTCAAGGATATGAAAACTCCAGTTTACTGTTTAGGTTAAGTTCTTTTGCCATAATCCAACTATTTCTTGATTTCTATTGATTCACTCATTCCCTGGTTTCCATAACGCAGGTATTGGTAATTTTCTGGCTGTTTTTCTGTTCCCTTTGTTTATCTACCAGTTCAGGATGGGTGTAGCTGGTGCAGCAATCTCTAGCGTCATATCCCAGTATGTATCTGTAGATTTTTCTTCAGCTTTCTCCTTTTCTTAACCTTGCAGGATGGTGCTAAACCACTTTTCTCTGAATCTCAGGTACACTGTGACCATTTTAATGATTGTGCTTCTGAATAAAAGAGTTATACTGCTTCCTCCAAAGATGGGCTCACTAAAGTTTGGCGATTACCTAAAATCTGGTATGCAGGCAACAGTCTCGTACTTATGGGATGTATGGATGTAATCTGTTTGCCCTTAACACCTAAGTATGTTAAGAGCCTCATATACAATAGGTTCACCCAGGTCTTAAACCTTCTACTTAATTTGTAGGCGGATTTGTTCTTGGAAGGACTCTCTCAGTGCTCATGACCATGACTGTTGCCACGTCAATGGCGGCTCGGCAAGGAGCTTTTGCTATGGCAGCACATCAGATATGCATGCAAGTTTGGTTGGCGGTATCTATGCTTACGGATGCACTAGCTTCATCTGGACAGGTATTAGATTGTCAGTTTTGTTTTCATGCCTAGAGATTTTTGGCAATAATTTTGGTATTAAATGTTTACTAAAATCCACTGATAAGAGTTGTGACTTGTGAGGGATGGTATTAAGTCTCGTGTTCTGTTGGTTCAGGCCTTAATTGCGAGTTCTGCATCCAAAAGAGACTTTGAAGATGTGAAAGAGGTTACAACTTTTGTTCTGAAGGTCTGAGCTCACTTCCCTTTTCATTAAATCTTTGCAAATATGTAGAAAAATGCTTCATGGTACATAGTTGAGAGGGAATATGTTGCTTTCGTAATCATTAAGGTGCTACAGCACAAAAAAAGTGGAAAATTATTTATCTTGTTGGGGATATGCTAATTGATATATATAGAGAGAGATGTAATGTGTTTTAGTAAATGTACAGATAGGAGTTGTGACAGGCATTGCACTGGCTATTGTGTTGGGGGTGTCATTCAGTTCATTGGCTGGCTTGTTCTCCAAAGACCCTGAAGTTCTGCGGATTGTGAGAAAGGGTGTATTGGTGAGTGGTGTATTTTTGATTCAGAATGTAATTTGTTCTTCCATGTACTCATTTGTAACATGTAAAATCAGTTTGTAGCGGCAACTCAACCAATCACAGCGCTAGCGTTTATATTCGATGGACTGCACTATGGGATGTCGGACTTCCCTTACGCAGCTTGGTCGATGATGGTGGTGGGAGGAATATCATCAGCGTTCATGCTGTATGCACCAGCAGGGTTGGGGCTAAGTGGAGTGTGGGTGGGGCTGAGTATGTTCATGGGGTTTAGGATGATGGCTGGATTCGGCAGGTAAAGAAAGAGCTTCTTTCTGTCTAATGTGTTGATAAAGATTATGGGTACAAGAGCGCTCACAAGTGTGTGTGTTTTGAATTATAGATTATTGTGGAAGAAGGGACCATGGTGGTTCATGCATACAACAAGTCACAAGGTACTTCTTCTTGTTCTTGTTTTATTTTACCTTCAAAGCTTCTTCTAATCAAATCATCAAGTTAACTGTCTCTTTATTCATATGGCAGCGTCTTGCTTAAAAGCTGCGTGCGAGAGAGAGACGTGCCCCATGTTCAACTTGTTACATATTAATTAATCCCTTAGTGTTTAACTACGTTTTACTCTCATTATTAGCTTCGTTTGTTAGACACAACACTTATTCTTCGATTTCGTCCCTTGTAATAAAATCATTAGTATATTAGCTTATGAATTTCGCCAAATCAAAGCCAACCACATATTCCTCAGAACTTGTTGGCTGCAGCCATGTGTCGCTTTTTGACTCGGTCTACATTTACAAGTTCATTTGCACCAATGAAGAAAATATGATTATAATACTTTTTTGTTTAATTGGAAAATATTTTGTTAATTTCATTTAAATTAATAATATAAGATGACAATTTTGAGGTGATTGCCGCAGCTTAGTGTTTTGTCGAGAGAGAGATAGAAGATGGATTCGTCGTCGGCGTCGTTTGTAGGCAACAGATATTGGATCCTCCGACATGGGAAGAGCATTCCCAACGAGAGAGGCCTCGTCGTCTCTTCAATGGTTTTCCCTCCTCTATTCATCTTGCATCCTTTGCTTATGAATGAATCAAATAATATATATTAATTAATTGATGGCAGGAAAATGGTGTGCTCCCAGAGTACCAGTTAGCCCCTGATGGTGTCGCTCAGGCTCAGCTCGCTGGCCAATCCTTCCTTAAGGTTTTCCATCTCTTTTTCTTTATATCCTTTTAAGTTAAAAAAAAAACTCTTCTAGCCTTTCATGAAATTTTGTCTCTCTTTCTCTGTGCAGCAACTAGAGGAAAGTAACATATCACTGGACAAGGTCCGAATTTGCTACTCCCCTTTCTCTAGAACCACTCACACCGCTAAGGTTGTCGCTCAGGTCCTCAATCTCCCCTTTGATTCCCCTCAATGCAAGGTATTATTCAAGAGATATTTCATTAGTGTGATAGCTTTTTCCAATGCCACAAACATTACATTTAGAACTGTGTTGAATTTGCGCTGTGTAGATGATGGAAACTCTGCGAGAACGCTACTTTGGACCTACATTTGAACTCAAGTCACATGACAAGGTTGCGTGCTTTTAGTTATTGACTGATGACTCACTCATTATATCTACGGAGAGTGTGACCTTGTTTGTTGTTTTCTGATTTTTCCAACAGTACCCAGAGATATGGGATCTTGATGAGAAAGATCCATTCAAGGGACCAGACGGAGGTGAAAGCGCTGATGATGTTGTATCTAGACTTACCACTGCCATGCTATCCATGGAAGCAGAATTTCAAGGCTGTGCGATTCTGGTGGTGAGCCATGGAGATCCTCTTCAGATGTTGCAGAACATAATGCATTCAGCAAAGCAACATAATAGCGGAGGAGGAGGAGATAGTGGTTTAGGTTTAGCTGAGAGAATTCAGATGAGCAGAGTTGCTTCTGTCTTGTCACAGCACCGCAAGTTTGCTTTGCTCACTGGCGAACTCCGACCCCTCGTCTGATTTTGCAAAATACCAAACAATAAGTATTCTACTTTGGCATGTTTGTTCCTATCTGCCAATGACAATTCTTGCAATTTTTAACTTTTGGAATAAGCAAGCTGTTGGAAAGACAAAAGGTTTTATTCTTCTGTTTGGAATAATAATAAATCATGAATCATATGCATCTTCAAATCTGTACACAAAGACGAGATAGCTACTTACAGTGGTCTCTCTGGTGCTTTTTTGGTACTTTTAAGTTACCATTTAAAAGAAAATTATTAAGTAAGGAGATAGTAATACTTGGTAAATATCCAAACACACTAAATGCAACTACCATACACCACCCATTATGATTTGAGCTGCTGACCAATTCCAACAATTTTTTCTATTAATTCCACGGAAGACAAAAGGAGTTGGTTACATTTATCATCTTCGTCCCGAAATTAAAAAAAAAAACGGGACGCATTGTTAGCATTGAATACTAAAACGACAAAACAACCTAGAAAGATACTGTTACAACACGCCATCGTCGTCGTCGAAGGACGCGTGTGTGTATGAGAGAGAGCTTTACTCTCTATTTGAGTCAATCGATCAATCCTCTTCGCAAATTCACCCAACGACGGACATGGCGATCCCTCGCAAGCATCTGCTTCTCCTTTTACAGGTTTCTTCGCCTCTCTATCTCTCTGCAGATTGCAACTATATTTGTGGTGGAATGGCACTTGATAGACTTGTATTTTCATGAATCAGGTGATCAGTTTCTCAGTTTTAGTCAGCGCAGAGCTTATCTCTGTACTCAACACCAACTCTGCTCCTAGGTAAAATTAGCCCCTTACTTACTACTTACTTAATCACTCTCTTTTTCTTCTCATTTTGTCTTCTAAAATTTTGTATTTTGATGTGTGCTTTTGGCAGTAATAATAGACATTCAAATGATTACTGCGCAATGTATGACATTTGTGGACAACGCGGCGACGGAAAAGTCCTTAACTGTCCTTATGGTTCCCCTTCCGTTAAGGTATAAACAAACCATTGAGAGGTTTCCTTTCTCTTCTTCCTTCATTGAGTTATTAATTAATATTGTTTTCTAATTTCCTCAGCCTGGTGATCTGTTTTCTGCCAAAATACAAAGTCTCTGCCCAACCATTACTGGTAATGTCTGTTGTACAGAGAAACAGTTTGATACTTTGAGGTCTCAAGTTCAACAGGTCACTCTTCTCTTTCTTGTTTCTTGCTGCAATCATCTCTTCTATTAGAGCTCTCCATTTACTAGTTTCCATCTATTTTGTAGGCTGTTCCTTTTCTTGTGGGTTGTCCTGCATGTTTAAGGAACTTCTTAAACCTCTTCTGCGAGCTCTCCTGCTCTCCCAATCAGTCCCTTTTCATCAATGTCACTTCTATTGCTGAGGTTTTGCTTCCCTTTCACGTGATTGAGTCGACCATTTCATATGGTTGTTAATAACACTAGGATTGATTCTAGGTGAGTGGAAATTTGACTGTGGATGCTATAGACTATCACGTAACTGACGCCTTTGGGGAAGGGCTTTACGAGTCTTGTAAAGAGGTTAAATTTGGAACTATGAACACACGTGCCATCAATTTTGTCGGTGGTGGCGCTCAAAACTTCAAAGGTGGTGCTCCCCACTCTGTTTCCTTGTTTCAAAAGTTACACGTTTCATCTTTACTGCTGCTTTTTCAGAGTGGTTTGCGTTTATCGGTCAGAAAGCACCACCTGGCTTCCCTGGCTCACCATATGCAATCAATTTCAAATCAACTTCCCCTGAGTTATCTGCAATGGCGCCAATGAACGTATCTGCTTATTCATGTGGGGACGAATCACTTGGATGCTCTTGTGGTGACTGCCCTTCCTCACCCGCTTGCTCAAGTCCCGAACCCCTTCCTCCGCCACAGGAACAAGACTCCTGCTCATTTCGGATTGGTCCTCTTAAGGTAAGTGTTATGAAATGTATATTGTTGATTGCCTGACAACATTAATGAGTTGGGATTTGATTGTATTGGTTTCTATATTCAGGTTAGATGCATTGAGTTATCGATGGCACTGTTATACATCGTGCTGGTCTCTTGCTTCTTTGGATGGGCTGCTTTCACTCGAACAAGGGATAGAACGCAGCATGATGAGTCACTAGTGCATCTGTTGGAAGGAGATGGACTTAATAGTGAACTGAAGAAAAGCACACTCGGTGTCAAGGTATATTGAGTTTGTTGGCTAGAAATCTTAGTTCTTCTGTGTATGTACATATAACGTATAATACATGCCGGGGACGGATATAGTATATGATACATTTATACACATATATGCTGAACTGCCCTTGAAGATACAAGCTGATTGGTTATTCTCTGTTTAGAGGAAAAAACGAGTTGATAACTTGACTTCTATTTATTAGGGGAAAAGGCATGCTCACCTCTCTCCTGTTCAGAGATACATGGCAACATTTTACAAGTAAATCTCCACGATTTTTTTCTTTCTATCGTCTATAGTTTTCCCACAAGGTATCTCTAGAATAAGAAAATCAGAAACTGATGAGATGAAAGTGTTTTTGCTTCCGATTGTTTGTCTCAGAACATACGGGTCATGGATTGCTAGAAATCCATCTCTTGTTCTTTTCACATCGGTCGTTGTAGTTCTTGCGCTCAGTGTAGGTCTCCTTCATTTTAAGGTGGAAACACGGCCAGAAAAGGTATGTATTAGCTCTTCGAGTACCATAGTTATACTAACTCTTTATGACATGGATTCCGCAGCAAAGCCATTGCAAAAGCTGGTATGATTGCTCATTTGAGTTCTGATGTTTTGTAGCTGTGGGTAGGTCCTGCAAGCAAAGCAGCAGAAGAGAAAAAGTTCTTTGATAGCCACCTTTCACCATTCTACAGAATCGAGCAGGTAGTTTTCTATATTTTACTTTTTCTGTATAAATTCCAATTTTTAATTCGAAAATATATAATCTCTGTTCACAATTTCCCTGTGTGGCATGACAGCTTATCTTGGCCACTGTGCCTGATCCCAAAACTGGGAGGGCTCCTAGTATTGTGACAGAAGAAAATATTCTCTTGCTTTTTGACATACAAGAGAAGGTAACTGAAAAATTGGTTCAAACATTTAATGTTGGTCTAAATGAATGTGTCCCATTTGTTTGTTCTGATTTTTTCCTCAAAATATCACAGGTCGATCAAATTCGTGGAAATTATTCAGGTGCAGAGGTCCCTCTGACTGACATTTGCTTGAAGCCATTGGGAGAGGACTGCGCCACTCAGAGTATTCTGCAGGTTTATAACGTTCAAGCTTGTGGAATTCTCAACGGTTTTAATAGTTTTTGTAACTTTTCACTGTTTAGATACACAGAATACCTCCATTTGTTTTTTTTTCTAACTTCATAGACATCAAAATTCTTCTTGCAAACGGAATTGCTTTTCTACTAACGTCTCTTTCTAAATTTCATTTTCAGTATTTCAAGATGGATGTTGGAAATTATGATGAGTATGGAGGAACTGAGCATGCTGAGTATTGTTTCCAGGTTCAGTTCTTGCTCAGTACATAGCCAATTTCGTCAGAGATTGGATGGGGGGTGTTTAAATTATTCACTTCGTAATTATACTGTTGAGTGTCTACCTAGTGATTGAATACTGTTTTCTAATTTCTTCTCTCTTCAACTTCCAGCATTACACGTCATCAGAGTTGTGTTTGAGCGCTTTTCAGGCGCCTGTTGATCCTAGTGCAGTGTTGGGAGGATTTTCGGGGAGTAACTATTCTGAGGTAATGGTTGCTGAACTCCCTTGCTCAGAAGCTTTTGGTTGTTACCCTGACCTTCAATGAAACTGTTTTTTCAGGCTACTGCGTTTGTTGTAACATATCCAGTCAACAATATCGTTGGTGATTCGAGCAACGCGAACGCAAGGGCAATAGCATGGGAAAAGTCGTTCATTCAGTTAGCGAAGGTTTTACCTATTTAATGTCTTCAGATTTTCAAAAAGCGACACGGTTGTCGTAATCGTGTTTTACTTACAATTGCCAGGAGGAGCTGCTATCTATGGTGCAATCCAATAATTTGACTCTCTCCTTTTCATCCGAAAGTTCAATAGAGGAAGAGCTGAAAAGAGAAAGCACTGCTGATGTTATAACAATAGCTGTACGATGACAAATATCTTTGAGAGTTATTTCTTACTAAGATTTCATGCCAGTGATCTGTTTTTGTTTTCTTTCACCAGGTAAGCTATCTAGTTATGTTTGTTTACATTTCCGTCACACTTGGAGATGCTCCGCAGTTTTATACTTTCTTCATTTCATCAAAGGTACTTACATTTTGATCTTCCTCTCAAATTCGGTGGGCCCTTTTATAGGCATTTCAGTTGTATTTGGTCACTTGAATATTCCTTTAGTCTCTGTAGAAGTAAAGTACTGAATAACTGGAATCTTATTGATATGTTGGGGATTATTTTTCCTCGCCGTTCCCAACTGAAATGATCTTAATACCTGAATATTGGCCTGGATACTAATTATGAAGTATTGTGCGTACAATCATTTTATACAGCTTTCTTATTAATATCATGACTTCTAGGTCTTGCTGGGTCTCTCGGGGGTTGTGCTTGTCTTGCTTTCTGTACTTGGATCTGTTGGATTTTTCAGTGCCCTTGGAGTTAAATCCACATTGATCATAATGGAAGTTATTCCTTTCCTAGTCCTGGCTGTAAGTTTGTTTTCGTCTCTGTAGCAAAACAGTAGAAAATTTGTTAGTCCGTTGATGGATATAATGATGGTTGTCCATAAGTTAACAGGTGGGAGTAGATAATATGTGCATATTGGTTCGTGCTGTAAAGAGACAGCCTCGTGATATTTCTTTAGAGGACCGGATCAGCTATGCACTTGTTGAAGTAGGTCCATCAATAACGTTGGCAAGTTTATCCGAAGTCTTGGCATTTGCTGTTGGAGCTTTTGTTCCAATGCCAGCTTGTCGTATCTTTTCGATGTTTGCAGGTTTGTAAAATGTTTGGTACTCCCTGTGCACATTAGTCGCGAGTCTGACACTGTTTTATACATGTGCAGCTTTGGCTATTTTGCTGGACTTCTTTCTGCAAATCACAGCATTTGTTGCGCTTATAGTTTTTGACTGCAAAAGAGCTGCAGATAACAGAATTGATTGTTTCCCTTGCGTAAAAGTTTCTTCATCATCTCAAGAATCTATTGAAGGTTACTTCTGAATTTTTTTTTTAAGAATTAGTGTCTTTTTTAGTGTATCATTTCCTTCAACTTAGCCAGAGATGCTATGCGTTTACAGGTGGAAGTGAACCTGGGTTTCTTGAGAGATACATGAAGGTACTTTGGTTTCAAGAACTGGAACACTTCCTCTAGATTAATACACATATGAATCATGATATGTGCAACACAGTCACGCACACTCTCGCTGATTCTCTAGTCTCCGTGTTCCACAGGAGGTTCATGCACCCGTACTTGGAGTTTGGGTTGTAAAAATGGTTGTTGTTGCTGTATTCTTGGCTTTTGCGCTGGCAAGCATTGTAAGTTGCTAGCTAAATTAGCCTCGTTGTTTTTGTTTTGCACTTTTCGTTTATCACTTCTTTTGATATAGTACTACGCTCGACAATAAACTATATCATTTTCAGAGGGACAGGGCACGAATCATATTGATTTTCCTGTTGATTACGAGGTAGTATTTTATCCATCTATTTAAGTTTCCTGTGTTTTAATATATTCAGGCCCTAAGTCCAAGGCTGGAAACTGGTTTGGAGCAGAAAATTGTTCTTCCTAGGGACTCTTACCTTCAAGTTTAGTGTGTTCCATTTTTAACTTCTCCTTTAGCTGTTCTCCTTATGTTCATCTCTTGCTCATTTCTCCCAATCACCGATTGGAATATTTTTACAGGACTATTTCGACAGTCTCGCAGAGTACCTCAGAGTGGGACCGCCTTTGTATTTTGTAGTCAAGGATTACAATTATAGGTTCTCTATCTGATACACATACACACGCAAACCACTCTTTCTGGTACAATTGTCGACCAGTTTTTAATGCACCGAAATGGATTCTTTTTGGCAGCTTGGAATCAAGGCATACGAATCTGTTGTGCTCTATCAGCCAGTGCAATTCGAATTCCCTTTTAAATGAGGTATTATTAAAGATATGTGTATGCTTGAAATGATCTGCATCTTAGTCAGTAACTAAATGTGATGTATCTCTACTAGAGTCATCATATGAATTTTAAAAAGTTTTGATGAATGTGGTTAAAGATCACCCTACCTCGTGGTGCCACCAACGCCTATCACATTTGAATGGCGACCCGAAAGGGTTTAATCCTTAACATTGTTTGTTTTCCCCACCTTCCACCAGATATCAAGAGCGTCACAAACTCCAGAAACAAGTTACATTGCCAAACCAGCTGCGTCTTGGCTCGATGATTTTCTTGTATGGCTATCACCAGAGGCTTTTGGCTGTTGTCGGAAGTTCACTAATGGCAGTTATTGTCCTCCAGATGACCAGGTCAGTCTGATCTCCGAGAGCTTATTTTGGAAACTACATTGATTTATCTTTTTTTTTATTTACTTAACAGATGCTGTTCTATTTTAATCACAGAAGAAACAATACGGGTTGATAGGCTAGTTTTGATGTCTGTTTAAGTGCAAAATGGTGTTATAGCTTCTAACTTAAATTCTTATGCTACAGCCACCTTGCTGCGCTGCTGATGAAGATATATGCAGTTTAGATGGGATCTGTAGTGACTGTACCACAGTAAGCTTCTCTCTCTCCCTCAACAGTAACTGAGTAGATCTAATTCTTTAATCCATTGCAGTGCTTTCGACACTCAGATTTGGTTCGGGATCGTCCATCTACAGCTCAGTTCAGGGAGAAACTACCCTGGTTTTTAAATGCTTTGCCTTCGGCTGACTGTGCAAAAGGTGGTCATGGAGCTTATACGAATAGCGTGGATTTGAAAGGTACTCTAGAATTTGCTTAGATAAAATCTATTTTCTCTTTATTTTGATTCAATTTATTTGCTTTTGGTCTTAACCTCTTTGTGGAACGCTTGATTTTTCCAGGGTATGAGACTGGTGTTATACATGCATCTGAGTTCCGTACATACCACACTCCACTTAACACACAAGTATGCCACTATTGATTTTGGCAAGAACTTGCTAATGAAAACTCACAGTTACGATATACTGACTGTCTTTGGAAAATTTCTTCAGGGTGACTATGTTAATTCACTGCGAGCGGCTCGGGAGTTCAGTTCAAGAGTATCTAATTTGTTGAAGGTTTGAATCTGGTGATAAATTTTGCTTTAAAAAGTACAGATTAGTAGCTGGCTTTCCTTGAAGGAGGATGGTCTAGCAAATGTATATTTTCTTCTGCTAAGCTTCCTATATAACAAGCCTTTATTTATGCAGATTGAGATCTTTCCATATTCTGTGTTCTACATTTTCTTTGAGCAATATCTGAATATCTGGACCGTAGCTTTGACAAACCTCGCTATAGCAATCGGTTTGCTTCCCATATATCCAAAACAGTGTTTTGATTTTATTTTTTTGCTAGTTTGTACCAAATTACCACTCTTTAATTCCCATATTGTTGTGGCAGGTGCTATATTTGTTGTTTGCTTATTAATCACTTCCAGGTCAGTTCTCCCGATACATTATGCTAAATTCAAATATGTGGAGATGTCTTGATGTTGGATTCTGTTATTTAACCTGTCAATTTCAGTGCCTGGAGTTCAGCCATCATTGTTCTTGTGTTAGTGATGATACTCGCGGACCTCATGGTACATGTTTTATTGACACATATCCATAGATTATTGTTCCGATTTGGGCTATAGGTTCATGCAATTCTGGAAGCTAATATGAAGCTATAGTGAAGAGATAATCATCGTTTGATATGATTGAACAGGGTGTAATGGTGGTTTTGGGAATTCAACTCAATGCAGTTTCTGTTGTGAATTTGATAATGTCAATTGGGATTGCTGTAGAATTCTGCGTGCACATATCACATGCCTTCCTGGTACGAACATGTCACCTCCCTTTATAACCTTAACGCCGAAAAATACACTGCATATATTTGCTCTACGATAGCAGCTAAACTTTCCTCAAAATTGTCGGTTAAGAGGATTTAAGGATGCAGAACAAGCCATGTCACCTTGTGTCTGAAGAATAATGTTTGTTGTCTGCACTGATTCAAATGCAGATGAGTAATGGGAACAGAGAACAAAGAGCGAGGGAGGCATTGGGAACCATGGGAGCTTCGGTTTTCAGGTGATGAGGCTTAAATTTTCTCCAAATCATTTTCTTGTATGCAAAGGTGTTAGCCCAATTGGTTTGGTAGTCAATTTTGTGGGACTTAATGAATGACAATATTTTGCTGTGGGTACAGTGGGATCACACTCACAAAACTCGTTGGAGTGATGGTGCTTTGTTTCGCGCGATCGGAGATATTTGTGGTAAGGAAACGCACCAAATACGTTGCCTTATGCAGTTGTGGGTCTCTTGCTTGAATTACAAATGGATATTGTATTGGTGCATACAGGTGTATTACTTTCAAATGTACTTAGCTTTGGTTATAATCGGCTTCTTGCATGGGCTCGTTTTCTTACCCGTAAGTTAATCTGCTACCATCTACTTACTGGTTAAGCTTGAATTAGCCAAGATAATATATCATCTTTAGAGTAATTTAATGGGTGATTGATTCGTACACTCGTTGTGGGTTTCAGGTCATACTGAGTTTAGTTGGGCCTCCACAAATACACTTGGACACCGAGGAAGAGGAGCAGCGGAGAGAAGAAGCTTCTTCTTCCCTATTGAACTGAGTAGACATGACTCTTAAGTCTGAATTCAAACTTTAACATGTACTCTTATGACTCAAATAAGTCTTACACTGTCAAAAACACTAAAAAATCAATAGCGTATGCTCTGTATCAAAGTTTAGGCAACAGAACTATAGCCCAAAACTATGGCATGTTGGTACAATTATTTTTTTTTAAGTAGAAGAAAATCACATTATTAAAAACAAGTAATATCCTTGATGCAGAGAACTAATAGTTATTTAGACTTTGCAGATTAAACACAAGTATTATTAGCAAGTAGCAACCCATCTCTTTTTAACGGTTTAGGAAGGTCAAAACGTGAGCGTTTATGTGAAGAGTTGCTTAAAAGCTAACACAAACACATCTAAGAAGAAGAATAATCTGATACATGACATTATTCTTTAAAACATTAACTGGACTGGCCTTCGTTTAGCTTTGGAATTTTCTTGTACTCGTACGAGTTTATGTCCACCTTCCCTTGCATAGCCTAAACAATAAGTAAACAAAAGCTGGTCAGCATGAAATTTTTTTGTTTTTTTGTATGGGCTAAGTGAAAAGTGACCTTGAGCTCGTCTTCGATGGATGTGTTTTTAGGTTGATAAGCATTGATAGGTCCAGTTCTAGAAAGAGCCTTTCTAGTCTCAATAATCTCCCACTCCTGGTCGTCTTTCACCTTTGCAATGTCTTTACTGCCTTGGAGGAGTTGGCTAAGACCGAGGGCACCAAAAACAGTGAGAGAGATCATGGGAAGTCCGTAGCGTACGAAAGGGTGTCTCCTTCCCCACCTTTTATACGATGGCTGCTTGAGAATAGCAGCTGAACCGGAAGGAGGAGATGGCTTTTGAGTCTTCGGACCACTTTGCATTGTTGTCATTTTCTGTTGGAATTAACAAATTGTTGTTTCCATTAATCAGGTAAATCATGAAAGGAATCAAATTAAGATAAATGCGAAAGCCTCACTGATCTCACATGTATAGTTTTTTTACACTATCTTCTAGTGCATTTTATAGAGATGATCTTCTCCATTCGTGATCTTTCAAGTATGGAAAAGGCATTCAACGTTGCTCTTATTTATATATTTTTTTAACTAAAACAATTATGCTATGACCTTGGAACAGCTTCCACTTGTTCTTCTTCTTTTCTTCCTTAAAAGGAGTTCACGAACTCCTAATCTCACACACACAAAATCTAACTCAGACTTATAGACTTCTAACTCAGACTTCAATTGATTCGAAGGTTTGGCCTCAATCACAACCAAATGTTGACAGACCCAATCGCAAATCAAAATTAGTCAGACTAATCTACTGCAATCGGACAAAGCATCTATTGAATCAAATCAAAAGCCCTAAAACCATGAAATTTTGCATACCTTTGGACGACTTGGCGAGAGAAGAAGCGAGTTCGAAAACAGAGCTGGAATAGGGCCGATTCGTGCCTGTTTACCTGACACGCTGTATGCATTTTGTAAAGTTTTTAAAAATTAAAATAAGGTATCAATTTGAAATTTATGTTTAGTTCAGCGATATTTTTTTTATAGCACAATCAAATAGTTTAGTTTGGGTATCCATTATACACGATACAGGTCGGGTCGAGGCACAAATCGGCGCCACTCTTAATGTTTTTCGGACAGTGTTGTTAAAACCGGACACGACCGGTTATTCCACATTCTCGATTGCATGTCCTGTCCGGTTTACGGTCTAAAACAATGCAATGTTCAACCTTTGGTTCATTGAACCCACAAAACTCAGCAACAAAAGGAAAACTGTTCAACAATCAACAACTAAGTCACCCTCCCTGGTCAGAACCGGTTAACTGAACGAGTATGATTTTATTCTCTCTAGTGGGTAACAAAAATTTGTTATATATATATATATATATATATATATATCTGGTTGATTGATTGGTCTTTATTTCACTTATTTATTTTATTAATAATAGGCATTTCAAATGATAAAAACTATTTTGCAATTTGTCCAAAGGAAATATAAAAAAATTCAAAAAAACAATTTAGCACATTGGATCGCACATATATGATATATCCCAAACTCAAAATACAAAAAACACACTATTTTGAAATAGATTTTCAGAGTTAACCATGGTCTACATTGTTCACATATATATAAAAAATACTCAGTTTGATTAAAGAATTTTTGATTGAATTTCTTTATTTCGGTGACAAACAAAATATTTTAAGTGTTTATTTAAATTTTATTTTGAAAATTATCATATTTCAGTTATGTTTTTTAACACCATTTTATTGAAAATTAAATTCAGTTATTACCTCGTTTTTATTTACGAGATAATAACCCATAACAAGAAAAAAATCTTTTTTTGACCCAAACATTAATACAGAGAGAAAGACACCTAATCAGATCCCATCATCGTCACCCCACCAATCGAATTTGACTCTCACGGGTTTATCACCTCCCCCTTCCTCCCCCCACTCTAATCACAACTCGTAACTCCCTTTCTCCCACCTCAATCCCCACAAACCCGATCTCAATCCTCAATGGCGGAGATGTCGAACATGGACCCGGAAGGCATGGACGGAGTCCGGATGACGTGGAACGTCTGGCCCCGCACCAAAGTCGAATCGAGCAAATGCGTGATCCCCCTCGCGGCCTCGATCTCCCCGATCCGCCGCCACTCCGACATCCCTTCCCTCCCTTACGCTCCCCTCAAGTGCCGCACCTGCGTCTCCGTCCTCAACGCCTTCTCCCGCGTCGATTTCGCCGCCAAGATCTGGGTCTGCCCTTTCTGCTTCCAGCGCAACCCTTTCCCTCACCACTACAACATGATCTCCGAGACTAATCTCCCCGGCGAGCTTTACCCTCAGTACACTACCGTCGAGTACACGCTACCTCCTAACGCCAACGCTCAATTCGATCCGAGATCTGGGGCGGCTCCGCCTCAGACGCCTCCGCCCGTGTTTGTGTTTGTTTTGGACACGTGTATGATTGAGGAGGAGTTAGGGTTTGCGAAATCGGCGTTGAAGCAGGCGATTGGGTTGCTTCCGGAGAGTGCTTTGGTTGGGTTTGTGTCGTTTGGGACGCAGGCTCATGTTCATGAGTTGGGGTTCTCTGAGATGTCTAAAGTTTTTGTCTTTAGAGGGGATAAGGAGGTTTCCAAGGATCTGGTTTTGGATCAGTTGGGGCTTTCTTCTAGGAGAGCTCCTGGGTTTCCTAAAGGTGCTCAGAATGGGTTTCAGAGTGGTTCTGGTGTCAATAGGTTTCTGTTGCCTGCTTCGGATTGCGAGTATACTCTTGATTTGGTGAGTAATGGTGGTTTTTAAGTGATTTTATGTTGTGGGTTTTGAGTACGTTTGTGTGTGTGTGTGGTGTGCAGCTTTTGGATGAGTTGCAATCAGACCAGTGGCCTGTTCAGCCAGGTCATCGTCCTCAAAGGTGTACAGGTGTGGCGTTGAGTGTAGCTGCTGGTTTGCTTGGAGCTTGCTTGCCTGGAACTGGGGCTAGAATTGTAGCTTTGGTTGGAGGTCCATGTACTGAGGGTCCTGGAACGGTTAGAGCTAGTTGGTTTTTTTTTGAGTTTCAATACAACATATACGGGATTTATATCGTGAATCAAATTGTTCATTCTTTTGTAATTCCAGATTATCTCAAAGGATTTATCAGAACCTGTGCGATCCCACAAAGATTTGGATAAAGATGCTGCGCCTTATTATAAAAAAGCTGTCAAGTTTTATGATAGTATTGCAAAGCAGTTGGTCGCTCAGGGTCATGTGTTGGACCTTTTCGCTTCTGCTCTTGATCAGGTATTAATGTGTCGTGATTTTATTCTGCTTGATGCCCAAACTCTGGTTTTGTTCTTCATATATGAGTGTGTAGTTTCTTATGTTTTACCTACAGTGAATTCTATCTCTAATCAACGCCCTGAAAGTGTGGTTATATGTGTTCCGATTTACTAAATTGTTAGGCAAAGTTGACACTGTTGATGCACACCAATTGTCAAAGCTCTTGTACTCAACTTTGTTACTAACCTATGATCACCAGTTTCCATTTTTTCATCTGATAATTTTACAGATGTTAGTGGTTCTGCACGATAGAACTTTTGTAAATATGGCCTTAGCATATCTATTGAAATTTAAGTGATAATATATGTGATTGTTTGATAACATTCCTTTTGTCTTGAAATCGATAATGTTTCTAACATCTAGATCATTTTCTATGCTTACCGGTTGCCCAAGCAATCCTTGTCAGAAACCCAATTTTTTTATTCGTTTTCGTGTCCTGTTCTTTTTGGAAGACTATATACTTGTTGTACCATATTTTTTTCTTTACCTCTGTGTTGATAAGGGTTTGCTTGTTTTGTCTATTATGCTATCATTATTCGATACCTAACTGTAACTGTCTCTGCTGTTGCATTTTGGTGTAGTTAGGTTGGGGTTGCTGAAATGAAAGTTGCAGTTGAAAGTACCGGTGGCCTTGTTGTTCTGTCTGAAAGTTTTGGCCATTCCGTATTTAAAGATTCCTTCAAGCGGGTGTTTGAAGATGGCGAACAGTCTCTTGGCCTCTGCTTTAAGTTGGTTTCTTCTCTGCTTCTGTGTCAATACTTTGCTATAGTTTGTTTTGTTAGTTGGTGTCGCAAGATAATACTTATTTTGGCAATTCAAGATCACATCTTCTGAAACATTTTACATATTATTGCGTGTATGCTATAATAAGATATACTTTGCATCCTTTAGTCTGAACTGACTACTTACCTTTCATTTTTCAGTGGCTCGCTTGAGATCAATTGCTCAAAAGACATCAAAATTCAAGGTGTTATCGGGCCTTGCTCATCATTAGAAAAGGTTATATCTGGAGTGCTTGGAATCCTTTTTTTCAAGATGTTTCGCTTGTGCTTTGTAATCTGATTTTATTCTCCTTTGGAGCCTTGCAGAAAGGTCCAAGTGTTGCCGACACAGTAATTGGAGAGGGGAATACCAATGCTTGGAAGTTATGTGGCCTCGACAAGAGTACTTGCTTGACTGTATTCTTTGATCTATCCTCAACTGGTTCAAATGCTCCTGGAACTGTAAATTCTCAGTTTTATTTGCAGTTTGTTACAAGGTATTCTGACAGCTTTTGTTTATCGCTTTGTTTCATTCCTTTTCTGTTTTTTAAACCTTTTGTCTTTCTGCACTGTACTTTTACTCGAAGCATTGTATTTACTGTTGTTGACTGGATTGCAGTTACCAAAACTCTGAAGGTCAATCATTAATCCGGGTTACAACAATAACTAGACAGTGGGTAGATACTGCTGTGAGCACAGAGGTTTGTCTTGCTTTCTAAAAGCATTTGTTTCTTCTTATTTACTCTGGAATCTACTAGATGTTTTCCGATGGCACTGTTCCTTGTTTTATTGGTAGGACTATAACATGAGGCTCACTCTTTTTTGCTATGCTAGGCCTACAAATCTGCAATCAAGTTTTATGTGATACTCTGCAAATGCGCTTAACATTAGTATTGGTGTAACTAGTAAAAGCTAACTTATTGTGAATTTTGATTGAAAAGCTCTAGTCTTTTTGCTTTTAATGGGACTTCTTGGAAAAGTTATTTGGTCAAGGTTAACTTAATTACTGTTACAAAATAAAGTAGTCTGATGTTATTCCTAAATATGAACCTTCCATCTGTAACCTTTTTCCTTGCTTCGCTACAATTGCATATTTTGGGAATCTCAGAATTATGGTGTTTAGTGCACGATTTTGACATTGTATTCGAGTGCTTATGCAATTACCAGCTTGTTAGCCAATTTCTTACGTTTTATTCTTGTTAGAAAATCAATGAAAATTATGGCTTAGGGTTATGTGTATTCATGTAAATGTATTGTTGTTTTAATAGCTAAAAGCTTTCTGGCAAGCTAATACTTTATTAC